CAGATGCCAACGGTGACGCCCGGCTCGGTGGGCAGGTAGAGGCTGATGGTGTTGTTCAGCAGCAGCGCCGGCTGCCGCAGGTCCGCGAAGAAAGGGAACGCCACTGCGGGACATGGCACGGCCAGGGGTTGGATGAGATGATCCCAAATGGTCTCTTCCAACCTCAACCACCCTGCGATTCTGTGACTCCCTCAAAGCCAGCTGCTTTAGTGCATCTCTCAGTTGTTTTGTTGGCTTTTTTTTTTGGACATAATTCACCCCAAAGACCGACCCCATTGGAGCACGGCCACCTCCTGCCATAGGGACGTGTTGTATACCCAGATGTGTTGCAAGATCTGGCAACACGCAGCGTCGCTTGCAAAACACGGGGTGCCCAATGGAGAGCTGTTGTGAGCTCTGTGAGCATACCGTGCATATTTGGGGGCCCCCCCCCCCCAAGCCTCCACCCCCAAAAAACCTCCACCCCCCCTGCGTGCTACTGCTTAGGGCGAGCTCTCAGTGCTGGGGTACTCACTGAAGTTCAGGAAGACAAATTTGGTGAGGATGACAGGGAAGAGGCGGACGAGGAAGGGCACGGAGATGTACATGAGGAGCAGCTGCAGGAGGACGGTGCGCAGTTGGGGGCACCAGCCCAGCCAGCCCCTGTGGGACACAGCACAGTCAGCACGGCCCCTTTGGACCCAAGTGTCTGTCCCAAGACAAGGCTCTGACGTCGGGTTTGTCCTCCCAAGACCAGGGCCTCACATTGGGTTTGTTTTCTCCATTGCTGATTTATGGCTGTGCACCCCCAGAGTTTTGGTTTTTGGGGAGCAGAGCCCTCGGAGCTGTGATTCAGCATCACCGGATGCCACCGCCCGGTCCCCCACAGCCTCCCACGGGGACACGAGTGGGCAGGAAGGGCAGGGCACATGCCAAGTGAGCCACCAACGCTGTGACAACACCCAGAGCTCAGAGGTGACAGAAGTGTCCAAAAGTCGGGGACAAGGAAGGAGCTGGGAAATGGCCCGGGGAGACCCGTGCTGCAGGCAAACAACACAAAGAGCAGATGAGGGATGCCATCAGCATGGAGGTGATGCTCCAACAGCATCCCAAATCCTCATCTCATCCCAAAGCACTGGGGACACATCCACACCCTCCACAGCTGCAGCAGTTTTGAAACGAGCACCCAGGAGGGTTGGAAATGCCAAACTCTGCAGCTTATCAGAATCACAGCACCCTGAGCATGGCGATGGGGCAACCAGCAGGGATCTGGGGCAGAGGTATCTGCGTGCGTCAAAGCAGATCTCAGCAGCACTGCGGGGTTGTGCTAGGGTGGATTTGGCACCACAGCCTCAGGCAGTGTTGCAGAGAAGGGCTGCAAAGGGCAGTTTGATGCGGCCCATGGGCACTGGAGGGTGCAGAACCCTGCATGCTGCACCAACGGGGCTCACCATCGTTAGGGCTAATTACCGGGTGCTGCACCCCGTCACCGAGTGCAGGGGCGAGGGCTCACACCCTGCTTGCACAACATCCCACAGGTGGGGCAGGTAGGGCCAGGGCGGGGGGCAGCATGGAGGGGTGGCACAGCCACGGCAAAGGGAAACGGTGTGCGGAGGGGTGACACGGGGACACGGTATGGCAGGGGGACCTGAGGACACGGGATGGGGTCAGCGTACTGTGCGACACTGGGACACGGCCATGACATGGAGCTTGTCCAAGGAAAAGTGATCGTGGAGGTCAGGGCACGAGGCTGTGAGGGCTAGGGAACGCAAGGCCACAGGGATCGGGGACACATGGCCATAGCGGGGCGGCTCTGCCATAGGGGCACACGTGGCCACGCGCCCGTGGATATAAGGTTACGCCACAGGGCACGGCGGAGATGCCTGGCACGCAGCAACCCCGAGGCGGAGCTGAGGGCCGGGGACCAGAGCCACCTACTCACCGCCGCGGTCGGTCCGCTCTCCCCTCCGCCGCCCGCCCGCTGCCATCACCGTTCCCGTGTTCCGCAGCCTCCGCGCCGCCGCGCCGCCGCATCGTGCCGTCCGACTGCCGCCCCGCCGCTAGGCCACGCCTCCGCCGCTAAGCCACGCCCCTCCCGGCTCAACCCGCCACTCACAGCGTCGCTCCTCCTCTAGGCCACGCCTCCCGGGTGCTAAGCCACGCCCTCTCTCCTAGGCCTCGCCAATCACAGCCTGCCTCCTGCCCGATAGCCCCGCCCACTTCCCGTGGGACACTCCCACGTGCAGCGCCGCGGAGCAGCGGTGGGGCATTGAAGGGGGGGGGGGGGGAGGAATAAATAATGAATAAAATAAAAATGATAAAAAGCCAACGGAACCAAAATAATAACAGCGATAATAACAAGTAATACATCAAAATAAAAAATAATAACTTTAAAGAAAATATAGATAAGAGCCAAGAGACGGAGCCGGGACTGAGCAGCAGCAGGCCCAGGAATGCGCCGGGTCGGACGTAGGATGGCAGCACCGAGCTGCAGGCGGACGGCTATCACCATTGTTTGTGTACAAGAATAAAGACAAATCCATCCAAGTTCGGGCTTGTTCCATCCCCGACTTCTCTGCGCTCCGACCATAGGGCTCCTCTCGGCTGTTACCCCGTTGCTATACGCCCCTCTTGCTCACGTTTGCTGCCGTTTGTGTAGGTTTGCTGCTTTAATGCACCGGAGGCTGCTGTGGGGTTTTTCCCCTTGCAGCAGAAATCAGCCCCAGAACAGAACAGCGAGCTGCTGTGCAGGGGAGTGGGGCGCAAAGAGGCACAGCGCAGTGCGACTGGGGCCGGGAGGGGAGTTTTGTAGGGTCTCCTGCCCAGCAGTGGGGCCGCACGTTGCTGGCACACACACGCACAAGGCCCGGCCCCGTTCCTGCTCGGCAGGCCTGGCTTTGCCCAGATTGCTGTTCTTCTGCCTGCGTCACTTGTGATGGCGCCGGAGAGCCGCGTTTCCTTCCTGTGAGCTCACATTGCAGGCACAGCACTGAGCTGCAGCTGTGAGGGTGCTCAGAGCTAAAGGCTGTGCAAGGACGGCTTCGTCCTACAGGGATGGGGGGAATACGGTGGGATGACTCTGCCAGAAGCCAGCCCTAAAAGGAAGGGGGGAATTTGCATCCACTACTGCTGTCAAACGTGGGCAGGGAGATGGGGATGTGGGGACATGGGATATGGGATATGGGGACATGAGGACATGGGGATGTGGGGATATGGGGCCATAGGGACATGAAGAATTGGGGATGTGGGAAAGGGGGGATATGGGGATGTGAGGAGGTAGGAATGGGAGACAAGTGGGCACACAGGGACATGAGGACTTGGGGACATGGGTATGTAGAAATATGGTGACATAGGGTTGTTGGGACATGAGAACACGGGGACACAGGAATATGGGGACTTGATGACGTAGGGACACAGGGACATGGGCATGTGGGGATGTGAAAAAGTGGGGATGTGAGGATGTGTGAACATCGGGATGTGGGATGTATGGACACAGAAACATGAGAACATGGGGATTTGGGGACTTGGGGAAGTAGGGACATGGTGGCATGGTAACACGGAGGCGTGGGGACATGAGGCCATGGGGACATGGGGACACAGGGACATTAGGGACATTGGGGTCAGGTGGACACAGGGACGTGGGACATGGGAGTGTGAGGATGTGGGGACCGTGGGGATGCCATGGATGCTGCCCATCCCTGCTGCCCACCCAGCTGCACACACGCAGCCATGCAGAGGCTTTGTTTGGTGGCGGCGGTGATTTTGGGGCAGTGCTGTGGATTAGCACAGCACGGTGGGGAGGGGTGCGGGGGATAAAGGTCCTGGCACTCGCCGTGCTCCAACAAAACAAAGCAGCAGATGGTTCCAGCTCCACATAAAGCGCAGTGAAGAAAAAAAAAAGGGGGGGGGTGGGGGGGTTTGAACCAGGGATGAAACAGCAAATGGGGAAAGGGAAGGAGAAAGGAAAGAAAAAAAATAAATAAATAGAAGAACCCTCAGCAAGTGTCAGAGCAGAAGAAAGCTGCGGAGAATAATGGCAAATGTTACAAAACAGACCCCAAAGCCCAGCACAAAGCTCTCTCACTAACATCTGTCCCACACAGCCCCTGTCCCCATTGCTGTCACCTTTAGCCTCGCTCAGGGCCATGGGGCCGTGACCCCAGCAGGCAGCACGCGCTGGGGACTGCAGGGACAGGAGGTGATGACACTGCATGGAGACCAGGGCTGCTCCTGGTGCTGCAGTGGGGCTCTGTCCCCATTGCAGCCATTGGGCCCTTGGCCATCCCGCAGCATTTTGTGGGTTTGAAGCTCTTTTTTTCCTAAATATATTGAGACCAGCTTCAGGTTCATCTTCAAAGAGAGCTCAGAGGATTCCCGGAGAGTTTTTGCAGAGAGAAGCGAAACAGAAGCCTGCAGCATGCTGCAGTGGGAGCTCAGCCCCATACGAGCCAGCAGAGAACCCGCAGGCTGCACTCAGCTGGCCGCTGAGGTGGGCTCCAGCTCCAATGAGGGCCTTAATAGGGTGCTGCGTTTTGGGGGTGCCCATAGGTGCTGTGTCACCGCTGAGGGACCTGCAGCACAAGGTCAACCCTGGGTGGCAGGGAGCCGACACGCTCCTGGGCTGGAGATATTGGGGTGACACGGCATCAGTTGGTGTGGCAACTCGGGACAAGGGTAAGCCGTCCCCCGGCGTGGTGATGCCGCCTCGGCGACAGAGGGGACCACGAGGACCCTAAGCTGGGGTGCAAGCCAGCACGGCCCCACGGTGATGCCACCTCGGAGCAAAGGACAGAGGAAACACGGGAACCCCAAGCCGGGACACGGCACCTCGGTGACGCCACCCGCACGGCGCACCTCGAACCCCGCGTGGGGCTCCGAACCGCCGCCGCCACTCGGCGCCGACCCTCCCCCGGCTCACAAAGAACCGCCGTCCATCCGCCCGCCCCCCCGGGGCCGCCCCTGCGCCGCTGCCCAATAAACGCGGCCGCATTTGAACGGGGCGCCGCCTCCGGTAGCCACGCTCCGTTCCGTTCGGCTCCGTTCCGCTGCGCTCCGCCGCAGACACCGGCAGGGCGCCGGGTGAGCACGGGGAGCACCGGGGGGAGGTGGGGTGGGGAGCCGACCTCCTTCGCTTCGCCCACCGAGGCCGCCCGCGTCGTTCCGGGCGGGCTGAAGGACGTAGCGAGCTGCCGGCGGGGGGCTGGGATGGTGACATCGCGCCGTTTGTCATTGGTGAAGTCCCCAGACGGCAGCTGGTGGGTGAGCGCGGGGCTGGGGGTGAGACCCTAAAGCGGAGCCCCTTAGGGTCAGCCGGAGCGAGGAGCTGGGGGTAAGGCTTTGGTGGTTTGGTTTTTTTTTTGGCGTGTGTTGCTTTGGGATGCTGCGTTGGCGTTTGAGCATTTTCCGTGTGTCCGCCGTGGGGGTGCCGGTGTGTGGCACCGTGATTCAGCACCCGTCGTGTCCTCGGGGCTCCGTCCCGGTGCCGTGCACATCTCGGGAGCAGCGGTCGGGTGTTGGTCCTCATGGGTCCCTTCCAATCGGGGATGTTCTGTGATTCTATGATCCCTAGAGTTTAGATTTTGGGTGACCCTGTGTGGAGCCAGGAGTTGGCCCCGATGTCCTTACGGATCCATTCCAACTCGGGGTGTTCTGTCATTCTATAGTTACAGGGTTTGGATTTTGGGTGGTCCTGTATGCAACCAGCACTTGGACCCCACAATCCTTACGGGTTCCATCCTACTCTAAATATTCCCCAACTCCACGACCATTGGCTCTGGGTTTCATCCCATCAGGGTTCCCCAAGTTGTGGGGCACAGCCCCGTGGCAGCTTGCAGAACCCCAGCAGATGGGAGCATTGTTTTTCCTTATTGAAAGGGCCCATTACAATGCAAATCCCGAGGTGCCGTGAATATTCAAACCTCCGTGCTGCTTTGAAGCTCTTTACATAAATTTATAGCTCTTTATTGCCCACTAATCTGCGGGCTGGTTAACAGCATCATCCCCTCTTTCTGCCAGCTCTGGAGGGGTTGGCTGTGTTTTGGGGGAGAGGGGTGGCACTGAGGGGCCGTGGAAATCATTGCAGTGCTCAATGGGGCAGAGGAAACGCCAGCTGTAGGGTTGGCTTTGGGGTGACCCTTGGAGAGGTGGGTGTGCTGTGGCCATGGGCTGATGGTTGGGTGCTGCGTTGTCCTTCTGGGTTCTGTTGGTGGTTTTTTTCCTCTTTCTCATTGACTTTTTTTTTCCCATTGGCTTTTGGGCATTGTTCAACCAAGGAGATGGTGGCACCTGAAGTGGGTTAAGCTGAGAAATCGCCCCAAAAGAGGCGAAACAGGGGTCTGTGGTTTGAGCAGGGAAAGCAGGGAATGATGTCAGCTCGGTCCCAGCTGTGCTGTGTGAGATGATTCATTAGGGGAAGGAGATAAAAAGCTCAACGAGACAGCTGACCTTCCAGAAGAGCTCCAGGGCCTCGTGTCGGTGGCACCTTGGAACAAAATGCTGTGCCAATGCCTGGGTCCCGGCCTTGCTCAGCACAAGGTGACATTGGCCGTGTTCTGCATCTGCTGATGTTCTGGCCATGGCCATGTGATGGAGCTCCAGTGGCTGTGCACTGCTGGGTGCCAGGGTTTGGTTGGGTCACAGCAGTGACTTGGTTTGGGTGCACAGAAATGCCATCAGCAGCGCAGCCTGAGGGCTGCAGGCAGAGCAGCACTGGAACAGCACTGGGAGAAGCTCCTTCCTTCCGCTCTTTGCTTTGATAAGCAACTGCTGTGCCAGCTGCAGTGTGCCATCCATGGATCGGCCATGTAGGCTAAAGCTTGGAGGTTGGGGTTGGCTCAAAGTCCTGAATTACCACGTTAGCCTGTATTGTTAGGGTTAAATTGAGCTGGGAATGGCTTTGTCAGCCTCTGTGTTGAAGGGGGTGGGTGCAAAAGGGAGGAGAGAAATGCTGGGGGAATTCCTTATCTCACCATCCCAAGTGCTTTCCTGCCAAAGGCTTGCCATAGGGTCGGTAGAAATAACAATGATAACAACAATAAAGTGCAGTTCTCCTAAAGCTGCCCGCTCGACCCAAGTTTATCATTTTGGAGGACTTACCGAACCCAAACAAAGCGACCCCCATTGGAGCTGAGCCCCTCTCAAAGGGGGAAGGAGGGGGGGGCCGGCCCAGCTGCTGCCCCCTCCCCAATCCCACCACTCCCAGCACCTCAGCTGCTGCCCCATCTGGAGCTGAGACGAGAGGCTGCTCTCAGCCAGGCTTTGTGCTCTGGTTTCCCCTCCGTGCCCCCGACCAGCAGCTGGGGCTCAGCTGACCCCATTATCCCCACAGCACTGGGATGGTTGTGCTGCTGCCTCCCAGCCTGGTGGTAGGAGGAAGGCGTGGGGCTGGGTTGGATCCTTCTCCCCGAAGCAATGCTGAATAATTCAGGCATCTTGGGTCACCTTGCACAGCAGCTGCCTAAGATGGAGGTTGTACGGGATGCGTGTGGGGCCGCGGCTCTGGCTGCCTGCAGGTAGGAAGGAGGGGGATGTCCTGTGCCTTATTCCTTCCTTTGTTCACTTGTAGGCTGGGAAACCTTAAATCCCCCCCTTGGCTGCGTGGGGATGTCTGTGTCTGTCTGTGTTCACAGCCTGGTGTGCTCTGGCCGTCCCTCCCTGCTGTGCTGCTCTGTGGCATTGTGGGTTCATTCCTTGCTGGATTTATGGGCTTCCATCCCTCCTCCCCCAGCATCTCTTGGCTCATTGGGGTCGGTTTAGCAGAGGGGGGCTCAGCAACCCCAATACTTGTGCGTGCACTGGGAGGTGGCACTTAGTTCTGTGCGCTGCCCAGCTGGTGGAAGTGGCTTTGGGGGTGTGGATGTGGAGTCAGGGATGGTTTGGGGGGGGGGCAGGTGGTAGCTGAGCCCAAAGGTTCGAGGCTCAGAAGTGCCTGGGAAGATCCTGGGGCTGGAGGCACTGAGGGTGTGCTGTGAGCGTTGGGGCTGCCATGCAGGCTGTGGTGCTGGTGCCTGATGTGTGCAGAGCCCCGGGTGCAGGTGGGAAGCGGAATTGCTGTGGGTGAGAGGCAAGGAACCAGTTTGCTGCCTTCCCTCTGCTGGCAGCATTTGGGGTTTCAGGTGCTGACTCCTCCTCTGCACCCCAGGTTGGATGCAGATGCGCTGTTGCTGCGCATCGGGGACCAGGCTGCTGTGTCTGTCCTGTGGGTTTCCTGATTCCCAGATTCCTGGGATCCCTGGAGGCCGCTGTGTGGGAAGGGATGGTGTTGGGGGGTGGAATTGGGTTGCATCTCAGGTACAGCCCTATAACCTGTGCCTGGGTTGCTGGCATGACCCTGCGGTTGTGTTATGGCATTGGTTCTGCTGCTGACCTCCTGAGCCAGGAGGGAAACCCTGCAGCCAGAATCAAAGGATGCCAGTCAAGTCCTCAGCTTGGACAGGAAATCTCACTCCCCGCTCCCCCTCCCAAAGTAAATCCCTGGGGTTGGGATGCTCCACGTTCCAAATTCCAGCACTGCCACCTCACAGTGTCCTGTGCTCGGTGCCAATTGCTCCAGGCAGGATTTGACCGCAGGTCCCTGCAGCCCAGCGCTGTGACATGGGCAGGGCAGTGACCCAGCGTGGATGTGTCCCCTGAGCACATGCCAATAACAGGAGAAGTGCTGCTTTGGGGTGCATGCTCTGCTCCCACGTGCCATGAGATCCATGTGCAGAGGGAAGCTCACGACTGGATGATGGCAGCCCTGTGGATTTTGGGGTGTAGCCCTCAGTATAGTGGCCATACGTACCTGCAAATCACCCAGCAAGGTGCAAGATCCCCCAGATCCTCACTATGTTTTCCCACTGAGCCTTTGCAGTGCGTTGCTCCTGGCTTCACCCAGGAGGCTACTGGGGTGGCTTAATGCAAGCAAACATGGATGCAAATGGTATGCACCATGGAGCAAAGCTGCCTCCATACCAGCCCTTGGGGTTTTCTTTGTGCTGTGCCGTGGGAATCCTTACCTCTGTGTTTCTCCCCCCAGGTGAGCCTGGCAGGCTATGGGATGGATGAAGCTGAGCAGGACCAGTATGAAGCCCGCCTCAAGGAGCTCTTTGACAGCTTTGACAGCACAGGCACGGGGTCGCTGGGGCAGGAGGAGCTCACTGACTTGTGCCATGTACTGCACCTGGAGGAGGTGGCCCCGGCATTGCAGCAGACCCTGCTCCAGGGCAACCTCCTAGGCAGGGTAAGGCTGGGGTTGTATTGCTGTGTGGATGTGGTCCTTGCTGTGCGCATGATAGGGATGTGTTTCATGGAGTTGTGGAATGGTTGGATTGGAAGGGACCTCAAAGACCCCCATCCTTGTCGTGGGCTGGGTGCCCCCCTGCAGCTCAGGCTGCCCATGGCTCCATCCGTGGCCTCAGACATCTCCAGGGCAGCCAGAGTTTCTTGCTTTGGTCACTGGGCTGTGAGCAGCCCAGCTCCAGCCATGTGTTTGCACTGCTGCTCCACTGTGTGAGGATAGGGTGAGTGTGAGACAGCCTCCAGAAGGTGAGCTATAATGGGAGAGGAGAAAACTGCCAACTGTAATGTTTGTCCCCAGATGGAGCCAACTGCACAGAGTTTCTCCCCACCAAAATTCTCTGATGCCATCACTTCATGCTCAGCATTGCTTGTGCTGTCTCCAGCCTTAATCACTTCCTTGGGTCCTTGGAAGGTTATGGGGACCGAAAGCCAGGGCTTGAGCTTCTGATTTCAAAGAACCACAGAATGGTTGGGTTGGAAGAGACCTTGAAATCCGTTCAGTACCAACCCACTGCCATGGGTGACTTAAGCTGCTGCGGACAACAGCTGCAATGGGAGTACATGCCACCACATTGAGAATGCCATCAGACTCCATGGTGGCCACCTGAGCCACCTCCATCCGCATTTCCTGGTGTCCCCATGCAGCTGCTGGTAGGAAATGGCTCCTTCCTCCTTTGGGGTCGCAGCATCCTGCTGGCTCACAGATCCCCCAGCTGCTCTGTGCTTTGCAAATTGACATTATGCCGTGGCTGTGTCCTCATAGATGGAAGCATCAGGGTGTCGAGCCCCTGCTGAGAGCACTCCAAGTATGGGGCATGCTCACCCCATCCCTCCTACTGGCTTCCCACAAGCTTGGGCCATTCCTATTTTATGTTCTGCTGGGGAGATCTGCACCTGCCCGTGGGCCACGCTGCTTTGTTCCTGGGCTTTATTTCTTGGGGAGGCTCTGGGGAACGTTTTGTCTGCGGAGCGGCGGGGAGTTGGCGTGGCCACGTGCTGCCTTTTGTGCTGGGGCTGAATGCTTAGGGCTGGGGGGAGCATCCCCACATCCCAGCACCAAGGAGGTGCACGTGCTGCTGCTGGCTTTGTGCAGGCTGCTGGGGATTATTGCTGCAGTCCGGTGGGGCTGTGCAAATCCTTACAGCACTGCTGGGCCATCCCTGGTTCTTCTTCTCAGGCCTTTCTGCGATGCTTGCAGCAATTCCTGGCATTCCTGGGCACTCTGCCTGCTTGCCCCTTGTGTCGTGTCAGTGAGCAGCTAACATGAAGCAGCACTGCAGGGATAGCAGGGATGTGAGCTGTGGGATCACTCAAGTTGGAAGAGGCCCCCGTGTTTCCCCATCCCTCCCATCTCCATGAGGGCCACATCTCCACGTTTCTGGAGCTGTGGGGTTGGGGAATGTTGGGCACCTCCCTGGAGCACTCCTTGGTGGCCGTCCTTTCTCAGCCCAACACGGCCCTTCCCAAGTCCTGATGCAGACAGTGGGACATGGTGCTGACCCCAGCCTCATCCCAGCAGGGCACACACATGCTGCCATTGTCACCCAGCATAGCACAGACGGCCAGTCCTGCAGCTCCAGGTCCCAAAATACCCTGCGTTCAGCCAAGCGTGTCAAAAAGAGCATTAAACTTTAAACGCCCTCCTGGTGTTTTGCTGCTGCAGACGTTCTGCCTTTGGCTTGTACAGGCTTTGGCAGGGCTGGCTTGTGGCTGAGGCTGCTTTGGGAGGGCTGTGTCCAGTGCTGATGTCACTGGTGCTTGCTGCATGTCATTGGAGGAGAGTGGTGCTGGGAGCAGTGGCAAAGCCTCACTTTCTGTAGCATGAGCTATTTTGGAGCTTGTGGCTTTGCTGTCCCATGGGTTTCCCTGCCTGGCTTGTGCTTGAGCACAGCACTAATTCTGGCAGCTGCAATTTTCTAGGCATGTTCTTTGTACATCCCTCCAGCGCTCAAGGTCGGATGCATGGCGCAAGCAGACGCTGCTTTTCCTGGCTTGCTGGCTGCTGGGATTTGCTTGATGTTCTCCAGCAGGTCAAACAGGAAGGGAAATACCCCCCAGCTCTCATGGTGCATCCATCCTGAAGCTGGGTGCTGCTGCCCCAAAGGCACTTGGGCTCTCTGCAGGGCTGTTGGTGCATCCATGTGCCACCTCCCTCTGCCCCTTGGCTTTGCAGGAGCACTGTGCTCAAGAAATATGTACATGTAGTGCTTAGGAACGTGGCTAGTGGGCAATGTTGGTGGTAGATGGGTGGTTGGACTAGGTGATCTTAAGGTCTTTTCCAATCTTAATGATTCTGTGATTAAGGGCCACCTGTGAGTGTGCCTCTTGTGTCTGTGCTGCCCATTTGCATTTGAAATCCAGGGAGCACTGAAGGATTCCCAACCACAGCCTTGCAGCCTAATCTTCCAGGAGCGTCTTTGGCTGTGGTCACGGTCAAATTGCAGCCATCTGCCCACGTGCAGCTGCAGCCCTGTCCTCCTTCCCCTCCCCTCCTTCTCCCCCCTGCTCCTGGTTCAGCTCCACAGCTCATCCCATTTGCACAAGTGACACCCAGTGACTCCTATTAATTTTTCCCTGCTGCCTCCAGGACCCAGCCAGACCCTGTGCCTGACCAAGGGGTGGCTCTGCCTGCTGTCCCCAAGCAGATCTTGGGGGGAAGGAGGACATTTTATTCCAACTCTCATCTTTTATTCATGCTCCTTCAGTCTAAACATCAAGTTGTTGTTTTTTTTTTTATTGGGTAAATTCTCTTATCTCTGCAAACTGTCCTTGTGAAACATGTTAGTGTTGTGAAATGAATGGCAGCAGTTGGTATTCAGAGAAGGCATCCTTGATGAGGTTCTGAATTACTCCAGGTGTTCAGGAAGGCAGCAGTGATGGGCATGGGGCTGCGTGGTGGGGTCACTGTCCATGGAGGTGTCCAAGAGTGGTGGAGGTGTGGTGCTGAGGGATGTGGGCATGGTGGGGTGGGCTGGGGATCTCAGAGGTCTTTTCCAATGATTCTGTGATTCACTCTTGAGCTTTGCTGCTTATCCATTCCCTGACAGCATTAAAATCTGCTCTGGCTGCAGCTCCGGCAGCACCGCATCTACAGCACCTGACTGCCAGCGATAGCATCCTCTGCTTCTCTAGGCATAAAGTCCCTCGTTGAAGGCTAAAAATTCTCCAAGGATTTCTCCAGCCCCAACAGGCAGCCAGCTCTGCCTCATTGCTGAGCCCAGCTGTCCCCAGCCTTCCATCTCACCCTGACAGCATCACCTGGTGCCAGTGCATGGCTGGGATTGCTCAGATTCCCCTGCGTGACTGCAGAGGACACTGCAGCTCCTCTGCAACCCAACCACAGAATGGGTTGAGTTGGGAGGGACCTTTAAAGGCCATCTGATCCAACCTCCCTGCGATGATCCTTGTGGGTCCCCTCCAACTTGGGATGCTCCCCATGGTCCTCTGGTTGCTATGGACAAACTAAGATGACTGTAGTGGTCTCTTCCACCCTCAAGGATTCTATGATTATTTCAGCTGTGTGCTTGATGGGAAAAGGCTACAAATGCATTCAAGTCGTGGCTTTGGGTCGTCCTGTGCTAACACTGAATGTTTGCAGTGCTGATGGGTTGTCAGACCTATACTCAATTATCTGCACCCGTTCATCTCATTTTCTATCCACAGGTCCACTTTGATCAGTTCAAGGAAGCACTTATCCTCATCTTGTCCAGAACACTGTCAAATGAAGAGCACTTCCAAGAGCCAGGTAAGTGCTCCAATTACCTAAAATAGCTCTTGGGTAGTTCTCACAGAAGCACTTGGAACAACAACTGTTTCAGTGCTGAAATGATAGGATTAGAATGGGTTGGTTTGGAAGGAACCTTCAAGCCTCCTTGGGCAACCTGTGCCAGTGCCTCACCACCCTCTGGCTGAAAAACTTCCTCCTCATATCCAACCCAAACCTCCCCTGTCTCACTTTAAAACCATTCCCCTTGTCCTATCACCCACCCTCACAAACAGCTGTTCCCCTCCTGTTTATCTGCTCCCTTCAAGCACTGGAAGGCCACCATGAGGTCTTCCTGGAGCTTTCTCTTCTCCAAGCCCTCTGAATGAGCCAGGTTGGGGCTGGCTGGAAGAAGCAGAGGGTACTGACCACCATCCTTTATTCTTCTTTGCTTTGTTTTCCTCACACCTTTCAAACATGGGTATTTTAGACCCTGGCAGGAGATGAGGTGACAGCTCTGGTGTGCTGGGAAGCAGGGCTGAGCTCCAGCCCAAGCTGGGGGCTGAGGCTTGCTGCTGCACCCCTCTGTGTCAATCCTAAATCCATAGCACTGCCTGTGGGGTGTGAAAGCCCTGGAGGAGAAAACAGCTTGGGCTGGGGGTGAGGGGGCTCCAGGTCTGCACTCGTGTCACCTCTGTACATCTAACATCCATAGCACAGCCAGTCAGCAAGATGACAGCTCCCCTCCTGCAGAAGCTATAAAAAAATAATAATAATAATGTAGGACTTGAGAGATGCAGTAGATAGGTTTTTTATTTTCTTTTTTTTTTCCTCTCATTTCTGAAGCTCTCCATGCTTCGAGGGTGACGAGTGCTGACAGCTCTCACACCAGGCATCCCTTAGTGAGGCTGGAGGGAGATGTGTTGGGGCCTTGGGGGGGGGTTGGGTTGGCTGCGATCCCTCCCAGCTCAATGGAGAGGAACTGGGAGGCAGACCTGCTGAGCAGAACGAGCCCAGTGTCACACATCTACTGGGCAATGAGGAGCTGAGGAGCACTGGCTTTGTTTAAATGGAGACATATTAAAAGAAAGTCTTCCAGAAATGGCTAAATTTGGGGTTGTTAATGCAAAAATGACAAAGGCAGCCCCCAAGAGGAGCCCACCTTGGGGACATGTGTCAGCATGGTGGTAATCAAAGGGCTTGTGCTGCAGGTAAGGAGCACAGCACAGGTGGGCCCTGCAGGCATTTGTTTTTAATGCGATGTGACAGGTTGGTTAACGCTGAAGTCTTTGCTTCTTTTAATTTAGATCAAACCTGAGATTGGGACAACAAGCTGCTCTGTGCTGTCGGTGTCAAACTGTCAGCGAGCGCAGAATGCCGGTGCTGCAGCCAGCCCCAGGCTGGGGAAAGACTGAGTTAGAGCTCTGCAGCGTGTGATTGAAATGAAAATGTAATTGGGGAAGGCTGAGCTTTAAGGCTTGCTTGCCATGCTGTGAGGAAGTGGCAACCTTGGTGCTGGGGGGCCATGGTGCTGCCCACAGGCTGGGAAAAGGGAACCAGGATGGCTGTGTGATGCTAAAGCAGCTCCTGCAGAAGAGATCGGTAGGGTTTCCCTATTTTTGGAGAGGAGGAACAGGAGGGAGAGATGCTGGTCTGATTTAGTAGTATTTTTCCTTGGCAAAGCTCAGTTCCCTCTCTGAAGGGCACATTGGCAAGAGGATGAGACATGAGGGCTGCAGGCTCTGCTGCACCAAGAGCAGAGCTCCCTGCCAGCTGCTGTTCCAGGCTGGATGTGGCTCTGGGCAGCCTGGTCTGGCAACCATGAGCGTAGCAGGGAGTTGAAACCAAATGAATATTGTGGTCCTTAGCAACCCAGGCCATTCTGTGATTCTGTCCCCTTTGGGGATGCTGGAGATGGGGACCCAGCTGCTTGGAAGTGACGTGGCTTGGGGGCAGTGGGTGTGGGAAAAGCAGAATGCTTTCAGAATGGGTTTTCAGTGAGTGACAAGCATGAATGAACTGTGGGGAGACGGGTGCAGGGATGGGCTCTGGGGGGGGATGCTGCTGCTATAGGACCAGCGATGCTCTGTGCATGGGTCTGCTGTGCACAGGTTGTCCAGGGATAATAGAAGGGATTGAAAGGGGGGGAAGAAAATAGAAAGGAAAAAAAGAAAAAAATCAGTTGTTATTTAAAAAGAAGTCAGATCTGTGCATTAGCAGCCTGGGTAGGAGGGATTACCTGGGTGGGGCATGGGATTATGGAAGCACACAGGACAAATTAGAGAGCATCGTGATGTCAGCCAGGTTACGAGGGATGCTTGCTGGTTCTTCCCATGGGGACAACAGCATTGCCCTCCCAGCAGGGAGCTGGGCTGGATGACTTGCAGGAATCATGCATGGTAGAGAAGGGTTGCTTGTAGGTTTGCAGAGGTCTGCAAGCTGACTCACGTGGGGCATCAAGGCATTGGGATGGAGGTGATTTGGGTACAGGCACTTGAATTTTCTGGCTGTGTGTTGCTGCTGCTCTCTGCCTTGGTTGCAGAGCCCAAAGCTTGAAGCAGGGACAAGGAGTTGTTCAGACAATACCTGGTATCCTCAGGGATTAGGATTTAGCCAATCCCGTCTGTAATACGATTTGCTGTCTGCTGTGGCCAGGAGGATTCCTGCCTTCCAAATCTTCAGCAGCAAAGAAATTAATTTTGCCTCTGTTTGCCTCCAGATTTCAGGGCAACTGCCTTCCTCCTCCTCCTCAAATGTAACCCAACTCTTTTGTGCACAGCTTTGTGATGCTGCATCCAGGAGAGCTCCCTGTGCTGTGTGAGGAGGGCAGGATGAATCCCCAGCTCTGGGGGCAGAGCGGGCTGGGAAATGATTTATCTCATGCAGAAAGGCAGAGAATCAAGTGGAAATCTCCAACCGTGGTGACGTGTAACCCCAAGGAGGGGAGGTTGGTGGGAGGGGAGCTGCAGAATGGATGCCTTCTGTCTGCAGTGCTGAAATGGGGGCGTTCTTGGGAGCTGCAGCTGGACTGATTTCTTTAGGAGGGTTTTGGGTGGCTGTGTCACAGGGCAGGGAGCTCAGGTGCTGGCTTGTGAGCTCTCGCAGCCTTCAGGGCACTCAGGGAGGCCAGGTAAGAAAACCCCTAGTGTTTAATTAGACAGGCTCTGATGTCTGTGTTTTACAGAGCCTATGGCTTGCTGAGGGCTATAGGAAGCAGGGAGTATTTGTCCTTTCTTTTTTTTTTTTTTTCCTACTTCTTGTTTCCTTTCCACCTCTCCCAGTGGCTTGTTGGTGTGTGGCTGATAAGGGCTGTGCTGAGCATCCCTCTCCCATCTGCCCCGTGGGGCACAGGAGCAGCCCTCCATGGTTATGAGTTTAGGGTTAATAGCACAGGTCTGTCCTGTGTGCATCTGAAGCAGTGATTTTTGGCATCCCCCTTCTGTTTCCCTATGTACCTTTGGAGCAGGTGTGGATCCAGAAGCCCTTAACCATCCTTCCTCACCAGTTTTGGCTGGGAATGGGGAGCTGAGTGCAGCTTTTTGTGCTTGGGAAGCATGGGTTGCTTCTGTAAACCAGCATTAAGAGAAGAGCAGTGGGTCTACAAACAGAATTTGGTGATGGTTTAGTGAGGGACGCGGCTTGGTGGACACAGGTGATGGGTTGGTGGTTGGCCTTAGTGGTCTTCCCCAACGTTATTGATTCTATGAGTGGGTATGGTGAGGGTGGGATAGAGGTTGGACTTGTTGGTCTCAGTACTCTTTGCCAACCTGACCCATTCTTGGTTCTGTGATTCAGGGATGGGCTGCCTGTGTTTGGTGGGCTCAGGTGTTGGAGTGCTGCGGGGTGTAAGCCGACTTTCTGCTCCCATCTCAGGCTGTGGAGGTCACCCATCCCTCCTGGAGACATTCCCAGGCCTTAGAACTCCTCAAAGGAGAAGGAAAAATGAGCACGCGGTGCTCAGATGAAAGGGACCATAGGCAAAGCGGGGAGAGGTAAATCAGCTGCTGGCCTCCAAATGCTTAAAAAACAAACAACAAAAAGAATCATCTCCATTCTGCTGTTGAAAGGCTTGCAAAGCGACCCAGCATAAAGGCACCTGGGTTTCCATGCATGTCTGGGTTTGGTACTCACTGCAGCCATGGTTAAACGCAGCCAAGACGTGGCTTGACGTGGCCAAGACGTGATTTGTGTCAGCATCAGGAAACGCACAAGAAAAATCTAGCGATAGCTTCATTATCACCTAATTGCTCCTTTTCCCCTCCGTCTTCCCATAGACAGACCGCACTGAGCTGTGCCTCTGTCTCATTGAAGGAAATGTATTTATCACAAATAAAACAAAGCCCCCAAAGCCTTTTTTTCTTGTTTTGCATGGAGGAAACCAACGGGTGCACGGGCAGCCACGGCTATTTAGCATTTCAGAGCGAGCTGCTCGGTGGAGATTGTTCACCGTCGGGCAGGCTTTAATAGGAGCGATAAGGTTTGCTTTTGTTCTCGGGCTCTCCCTTCATCAGCCTGCCTCGTTGCGGTTTTTCTATCGGCACACTTCATCAGGCAACTTTCATGTGCGAGTCCCAGCTGCAGCAAATCTTGTTAGGATGGCCTTGTTCAAACACGGGTGCCGGGTTTGTTCCCTAGAGCTGCAATATGGATGGATGGAGCGCGAGGCGGGAGGAATTAAAGGCCTCCTAGCCCTGTGTATTTTATAATTCATTGCATAGCTAAGTCGTGGAATATTTTTTCCTCTAACAAGCTTGAAGCCTTCTCCCCGTATCTGAAAGAATATTATCCAAGGAGGCAGTTAGGCAGGGGGGTTTGGAGACCCGCTGGCTGCATCCCAGCGACGGAACAGCTTCCCTGCTCCTTGTTAGTACAGCACTCTTGCATTTGTTTTGTAGCAGAGCTCTGTGCAAATAAAATTTTCAGCAGCCGCCGTGTGCTGCAAGTAGCAGGAAACAAAGCTGAGAGAAGTCCTGCGGGGGTTTTGACGGCGAGGTTAGCAAACAAAGTGTGGTGGAGAGCCTTTTCCCCTAATTGAATCCCTGGTTAATTTGGTCCTCTGGTTAATTCGCCCCCTGCTCCAGCCGTCCAATGACTCGCACTGAAAATAGCCCAAAAATGTGCTTGTTTATTTATTTTTGTTTTGTTTTGATCCCTGACCGCAAGCGCTGGAGGATAATTCAGTCCCTGGAGGCAGGAGGTTGCTGGGGGAAGCTGAGATGGGGAATGTGAGTGGGGCCATGAAGCCCCCTGTAATTAGATGGCAGCTCCAGAGGGTTATTTGGATGCTGCAGCTGGCAGTGTGCATGGGTCGGGACCTGCCCTGCATCAGCTGCTTCTTTTGGGCCCCTCGGGGCATGTTTGCCTCCATCTTTACTCAGTTTTTTTTCCACTCCTTTGGCTGTTTTCACACTTTTAATCCAGTAGTGATTGAAAGGAAAGCAGTGGAGGTCATTCATGTGTCCAGGCATTGTGGGTCTCTGTTGCTGCCCGAGTGGGTTGCTATCCCGTGTTAAACTTGCCCATTGCTGCTAATGAAGATTAGTGCAAGGAGGAAAGGCCTAATTAACGTCGTGATCTGAGGCAGAGGTGGCAGTGGGGATGGCCCAGCACCTTAACTGGGCAGGGAGTGAGTGCTGGGGTCCAGAACAGCCTGTGAGCCATGGAGATGTGGTGCTGAGGGATGTTGTGGGGTGGAGTGGGCATGGGGATCTTCCCTATCAGAACGATTCTGCAAACAGAAGGGTGAGAAAGGCAGAGAGCCTGCTGATCTCTGCAACAGTGGCTGTTCCGTCAGTAGGAGCAACTCTAACCTGTCACCAACTCCCTTTGCTCTCCACCTTTGCAGATTGCTCCCCAGAAGCGCAGCCCAAATACATCAAAGGCAACAAGCGCTATGGCCGCCGGTCGCTGCCAGAGTTCCAGCAGTCCGTGGAGGACTTTGCTGAGGTGACCGTCCTCGAGCCGCTGGGAGAGGAAGTGCAGCCTCCACACATCACAACCAGCGGCTGTGAGGAGGTGAGCAGGGTGGCTGTGGGCACGGTGATGTGTGCTACCCACGTCCTGGCCAGCAATTCAGTGCGGGCTGTGAGCCACGCTGTGTGGCTGGGCTGATGCAGGCTGGGGGTATGCCAGCAGAAGGAGCATCCCCATCCATCAGCTCACCTGTGGAAAGCCAGCCGTGGCCATGAACCACAGCATGGCTGGGTGGGAAGTGGGAAGGGACCCAGCTCAGGCTGTCCAGGACCCATCCGTGGCCTTGGGCACCTCGAGGGATGGGGCAGCTACTGCTGCCCTCACTGCTGTCTGGGTGAAGGATTTCCCCTTGTATCTAACCCACATCTCCCCTCCCAGCTTGGCAGCGGGCTGCCCCAGCAGCATTTCCTTGGAGCTGGGTCCCTTCCAGCCTGCTGCAGGCCTGCCAGCTGTTGTCAATTCAGCGCTCGGTGCGTGGTAGGAGTTTTCCAGTAGGAGGGAGAAATGCAGCTGCTTTCCCCTCCCCTTCCTGGCGTCACTTTGCTCTTTCTGGGCTCTGCAGCTGCCCCGCACACAAGCATGCTCCTCCCTGCAAGAGAAAGGGAGAACGTTCCATGGAATTATTGAGGCTGGAAATGACCTCCAAGATCCCCACTCCACCATGTCTACTGATCAGTGCCCCATCTCTGTGTTTCTTGGACACCACCAGGGACGGTGACCCCACCACAGCTGGGTAGCTGTGCCAGTGCCTGCCTGCTCTTTCGGAGAAGTTTTTTTTTCCTAATTGCTAATTCTGTGAAGCAGATCTTCACAAAGCTGTGGGGATGCTCTTCCATCTCCCAGTGCTGCCCTGACCTGGAAATCAGTGCGAATCCACCCACCCCCTCCAGGGAAGTGATGCCCTCGATAGAGGCCACTCTAATTTTATTCCTCTGTTTCAGCTGTTGAGTAGGTGTAGAGGGCTAGCCCATTAACAAGGTCAGCCAATTAACTAAATTGGTACCCAACTGCCAACAGGGAGCACAGACTCCTGGCGCTGCCTCCCGTTGCGCTCCTTTGGATGGATGGAGTGATAATTCCCTCGCACCTTGAGCCAAAAAAGAGGATAAATGTGTGAAATCCCTACTTCTCATCTTTATCGGTGCTATTTTCTTGGCTCCAGAAGATGATTCTCCTGTTATACGCAGGCATTGGTTGTTTGCAGCCTGGGGCTGAAGTGCTGGCTGCTGTCAGTGCTTGAATAGTCCCCAACATTTTGGGGCCCATCCCATCCAGCAGTTCTTTCCTGCGGTGTGTATGAACTCGCTGCTGACTGCTCTGTGAGTTTGTCTCCAGCTTGGGGTGTTTTGCCAGCCTGAGAACTGGGGCAGTGTGGCTTAATTGGTGCTTGCTCTCAAGCGGTGCCAATTAGAAGGGCTCAGGCTCTGTCTGAGCAGCTTCCTTCCCTCTCAGCCTCTCATTTCATGTTGACAGAGCTGAGGAGGGCCAGTCTGTGGGGATCAGCAGCTGCCCGGGGCTTCTCTGCCACATCCATCCCTGGTGACTTTCTGGGAACCACTGGAGCAATCAGAGCTGAATTCAGCACTGTCACCAGGCTGTGTGCTAATGGGTAATGAGAAATGAGTGGCTCTGGCAGCGTTAGGATGCGGTGCTGTTGGAGGTGCAACCGTGAAAGCCCCTGGAAATGCAGCATAAATGCTTGCAGTGGTTGAAGCTGCTCATCTTCAGCCCCAGTTGTCATTTGAGATTGCTTCTCAGGAGAGCAGTGCTGCAGTGGCACAGCTGCCCAGGAGCGGTGGGAGCACCATCCTTGGGAGTGTTCTAGAGTGATGGAGATGTGGCACTGAGGGTTGTGGGCATGGTGGGGTGGTTGGGGTTGGGGATCTCAGAGGTCTTTTCCAACCTGAATGGTTCTATGATCCTAAAGTCTTGGGGCGAGTGACAGATTCTGTAGAGCTTTCAGGCCGTAGTGGCATAGAGCTGGCCAAGCATGCCTGGGGAATGCTGGCCTTGTTTTAGTTTCCTTTTTGCCTGGTGTGATGGTGCAAGGTTGGGGTTCAGTGGCTGTGGGGTCCCCAGCATCGTATCCCCAGGTATGTGGTCAAATGTGCCTCATTCCCAGGCTGTGCTGATTTCCAGACCTCAGCACCAGGCATCTGTCATGTCCTTCCCAGCTGCTGGGCTCCGCTCTGGGAAAGGTCCCTCCTTCATTGCAGGAGGCAGAAGCTCATAGAAACCCAAGGGATGGGACTGGGATGTGGCAGCAGTGCCTGCCCCATCTGTTCCCTGGACATCTGTTTGTTCCCCTCTGCAGGGAGAGGGCTGTCTGGTGCGGTTTCATTATGGGAGAGGAGATGAGGGCTGCCTTGTCCCAAACCACAGGGCTGTACCAGAGCCTTATCCTGTACAAATCAGGATCTGCAAACGGCAGCTCAGCGTTGTGCTCACTCTCCCCAAAGACACAATGCTCTCCTTTGCAGCTGAGGGTAACCCGTAGGGTTGGGCTGTGGAGTTGTGCTGCCTTCTAGCAGTCCTTGCAGAGCCTGCTGGGCTCTGAGCTCATCCCCGGGCAGACGCAGGAGGATGAAATAGGGGCTGTCAGGACAGGCACGGGGGAATCACCTTGCGCTCAGTGTGTGCTCCTGATCATCATTTTAATTAGCCATATATTCTGGGGGAGAACAAAGGTCTGTCTCACAGAAGCAGATGGCAGGGTGGGAGAGGTTGCTAAGTTATTATGGGGAGAGGCCACCGCAAGCAAACGGCACAGGCTGCAGATGCTCGCCGGGCCCCGAGCTGCAGGATGGGAGCATTGAAAGCTGTGGCCATCTGCTCCTCGGGCAGCCGAGCACGCGCCGCTGGGATAATGCATTCCTGGGATCCCAGTCCTGCACGCGGCCGCTGATGTGTGTGACCCACATCCAGCTGCAGGGCTGGGAACAATGCTGTGTGGGACAGGGGGGCGTGCTGGCCCCTTTTGTCCTCCCGCTGTGCCCACCCTAAGCTTCCCCATCAAACAAAGGGCCCCCAGACGTGGCAGCAGCTCCCAGGGGTGGTGGGGAATGCACTGATCTTTAATGGCATCACTGCCCCTCTGAAGATGAGCACCAGGCTCTTCTTTTCTGGCTTCCCTGAAGCATGAAATCATTCAGATTGGGGAAAAGACCAAGGCCTGAGGTTGTACCAGGAGAGGCTTAGGTTGGATATCAGGAAACACTTCTTTGCAGGAAGGGCTGTGAAGCACTGCAATGGGCTGCCCAGGGAGGTGGTTGAGTCACCATCCCTGGACGTGCTTAAAAACCATTTGGATGTGGTGCTCAGGGCCGTGATTTAGCAGAGGGTTGTTAGAGTTGGGGCAGGATGGTTAGGATGAGGTTGGACTCTATGATCTTTAAGGTCTTTCCCAGTTTTTTCCAATTTGAGCAATTCTATGATTCCATGAAGACCTCCAAGAACCCCCCCAGTCCAAACCCAAACACATCCCCACTGACTGCATCCATCATCTGTTGAGCAAAACAGGGATCTGCCCACCCCAATGCCTCAGTTGTGGCTGTAGCCGGGCAGCTCTGCTTGAGGCCAAAATCCACAGCTTTCCAGTGTGGTGTTATTTACGTCCCTGGCTTTGTCCCGAATACCCAGCTGAGCTCCAGCCCTGCTTGTGCCAACCCATCTCTGCCTGCAGCCTTACAGGGGCACAAAGGCTGATCTCCCCCTCTCTGGGATCCCCCAGCCTCCTGCCCTGGCCCCACAGCAAAGGGCCGCGTGGGGCTGCTGGCAGCGGCCGTTCCTTCATCCGGCAGCAGGGCTAAAAAAGTACAGTGACCTAATCCAGTTTCCACGGCAACGCTGTAGATTAATGGCTTTTAGCTGTAATCTGAATGAGGCGTGTTGAACTTCTGTAGGATGATTTAGAGCCTCTTTATGTCCTGAGTGACTTTGACTTTAAGTCTGTCGGTCCCATGCACGCGCAAGGACACGCTTGTAATGCAGGAGTAACATCTGCTGATGCTGTTGCTGGACTGAGAGATTAAATTGCTGAGCATTGCGTGCTAGCAAAGACCCTCAGCTGGTACAAGGGAGGCAGAGGAGGCAGGATGCTCAGGTTGGGCCAAGCTCAGGCTGCTGGCCCTATGCTCTGCAGGCAGATGCGTCCCTGCTTGCAAGATGGAATGCACAAAGCAGTGAAATCCCCATCTTCCACACTGTGTGAGCTCTGGGAGCAGATGTCCCTGTGGTGCTCATGTGAGATCGTTGCGGCTTAATTACTTGCTGTGGTTGCCTGGGATGCTCAGGCTCTGCAGCTGGTGCAAGGTGATGTGAAACCACCCTGAGAGTGTGTGCCATAGGGCTGTCTATGGTGGGGATGTTCGAGGCTCTAGGTGGGCTCTGCCTGTGCTCTGCCAAGCTAGCTGTCTGTGTGTGGGATCCATGTGGGCTGCAGGACTCAATGTGCAGCAGGAAATCAGGTGCTGCAAGGAATGGGTGATGCAAATTCAGATGATTCCTATGCACAGCGCAGTCTTTGCTGCATCCCCGCTGTCTCATCCATCAATATTGCTAAGAAGGCAACGTGGAGAGTTCAAAAACCAGCAAATCTCTTGTTCCCTCCCCATCGAGCTGCTGGGCCCTGCTGCTATCTGCCAGCATACCTCTCCTGGGCCGTCTGCAGGGCTTTGGCAGCTCCTAACACGGCTGTGGTGTGTCCCCCAGCAGCACGGTGTGTGCCAGGAGCAGCAGCATCAAACAGCTGAGGGCTGCCTGCTGGGAGCAGGGAGATGAAAGCCTGGCAGCCTGCAACTTGTTTGATGCTGATCATGGAGTCTTTCATACGTGTCGTGTCTTGCAGTCATAACAGCTCAAGGTCCCTTTTTGTCTTCTCCCCAGCTCTGGAAGACTCAGGACAGCGAGGAGTACGAGGCAGAAGGTAAGGGCAAACAGATGGATGTGGTTCTGCTTCAAAGCTGAAAGGAGAACCATCACAGGAGCCTGAGGGTGGTCTCAGTGCTGTGCTGCTGGGCTGTGCTGAGCTCCTGGCCCAATTTCGGGCACACACATGGGTCTTTCCTTGCTTGAAATGGGAGTGAGCCCCAGACTGGGAATGGTGATGAACGCACATCTCCTTGAGGGCGCTGCCTGATGTCTCAGCATCTCTGCGCGCTCCTTCTCCTGCTGGTGCTCCTCCTTGTCCCCACAGCAGCCCCTGGGACACGTCCTGTCCCTGTAGTGGAGCAGGGTGGTCGCTAGATGTCACCACGGGCCAGCCCTCAGTTCCCTGTTAGCACAGCTGGGTGATCCCAGGGTGTGCTTTGGGTTGGGATGCTCGGGGTGGTCCCCATAACAGAGAGCTGGCGTGAGCTGCTCTGTTCTTCTTAGCAAAGCCCATGGCATGTGAGGATGTTCTTATGGCTAAGCAATGCAATTCCTCATTGCTCCGACACCTCCCCCTTGCTAGCTGCTGGCTGACCCTCGCCCCATCCACCAGGACCAAAGTTTTGCCCCACTTTCTCAGCAGGCATGAGGAGGTGGCCTTGCAGCTGGGCATGCTTTGGCTGGTTTGTCTTCAGGGGCTCTATTCAAGGTCTTCTCTGTAAATCCTGTGGTCCTTTAGAGAGGAGGAACCACTTCTCCATCAGGGGTTTGGGCAGCAGGGCTGCCAGCCCACCTCCATCCTGGAGGTCCCAGCTTGCCCTGTGCTTGGACATGTGGATTCCTTGCTTGTGGTGGAAGTTAAATGCCACATGAAATCTGCTTCTAGAAGAGTCTGACAGCCACACTGCTGCTGGTAGTGATACCTCAACGTGCCAAGTGTGCATTGGGGTCTACAAAGCTCCTTGTGGTGTGCAAACACCATTAATGTCCTGTCGGCAGTCACTGCAATTAATGGATCATCCCATACACTGGGGTGATTTTCTCCCATTTCAGGGCAGCTGCGCTTCTGGAACCCAGACGACCTGAATGCCTCCCAAGGCACATCACTGCCCACACCAGAATGGGTGGAGGAGAAGCTGCAAGAGGTCTGTGAGCACCTCGGCATCTCCAGGGATGGCCACTTGAACCGCAAGAAGCTCATCTCCATCTGTGAGCAGTTCGGGCTCCAGCACATCAACGGGGAGGTGAGTGGAGCTGGGGGTTGCTTAAGCAATAAGGTATACCCCAGATTCCAAGCATACCTCCTTAATCCAAGGAATTTTCTATCTAGGAAGAAAACATTGGTTCAAATATCCTTAGATATGTCTTTGCAAAGTCAAAAGCAACTGCAGGCTGTTTCTGTTCTCCAGGCAGAGTCTATTAAAGATTCGGTTTTATTAAAGAGAGGGGAAAAAAATGTTTTTTCACATCTTAAAATGCCATGATTTGAAATGGTTTCCTTTCTAAAGCTTGGTTTTGAGCTGCTATTGCTTTGCTGGGCAGCACATAGCTCTGTGAGATGGCTGTTCCAGCAGTGGGCTGATGTACTCCTGTGGTCTGTTTGCTTTGCTCTTCCTTTTTTTGTAGAGATCTAGGGAATAGAATCACATAGAACGGCCCGGGTTGGAAGGGACCTCAAGGATCACAAAGCTCCAACCCCCCTGTGCCATGCAGGGCCACCAACCTCCACATTTCACAGCAGCCCAGGCTGCCCAGGGCCCCATCCAACCTGGCCTTCAACACCTCCAGGGATGGATGGGGCATCACAGCCTCTCTGGGCAGCTGTTCCAGCACCTCACCACTCTCACAGCACACAACTTCCCCTGACATCCAACCTCCATCTGCCCTCCCTCAACTTCAAACCATAGGAGCTGGTCTGCTGTGAGAAATGTTTTTGCAGTGTTTTCAGCAATAGCAGCCTTGATTTCTGTCCTGTGCCTCTTGCAGGTGCTTGAAGAGGTGCTCCATAACCTGGAGCAGGATGGCACTATGAGTGTGGAAGATTTCTTCTACAGCTTGTTTAGGAATGCAAAGCCACTGACACCCTCAGCATCTACCCCATACCGACAGCTGAAGAGACACCTCTCCATGCAGGTGAGGGATGGGCATGGAGCCTTGGTTCACTGTGCTGTGGGGAGATTGGAGTGCCCCAGGGCACTGTGGAGCTGGAGTGCTATGGGGAAAGCTGTGGGGGCAGAATGGTGTAGGAATGGCCTTATGCTCGTGGTAGGAGAGATGGCTCCCTTGATCTTAGTGGTCTTTTCCAGCTGTAACGATTCTAATAATGGGGCTTGGGGATGCATCTTGCCAGATGAGATGTGTGGCAGCCTGGGGTTGGCTCCAGACTGCAGCTGTGCACATCCCACTTCACAGAATCACAGAACGGCCCGGGTTGGAAGGGACCTCAAGGATCACGAAGCTCCAACCCCCCTGTGCCATGCAGGGCCACCAACCTCCACATTTCACAGCAGCCCAGGCTGCCCAGGGCCCCATCCAACCTGGCCTTCAACACCTCCAGGGATGGACGGGGCATCACAGCCTCTCTGGCAGCTGTTCCAGCACCTCACCACTCTCACAGCACACAACTTCCCCCTGACATCCAACCTCCATCTGCCCTCCCTCAACTCCAAACCATTTCCCCTTGTCCTGCTGTCATCTCCCCTTTCCAAGAGCTGCTCCCTCCCAACTTGGGCTGCTCTCCAACTCGCTTTAAGCCCACTGCGCTGGGTTGTGCTGCGTTCCCATCAGGTCACTGCTGGGCGTTGGCATGGCAGGGAGGGACAGCAGCATTAATCCTTAATCTCTAGATCCCCGCTAGCAACGTGACCCACGTCAGCCCTTCCCGGATGGGTGTGCAGGGGGCTGGGTCTGCCTGTACCCCCCACAGCTCTCCCCTTTTCCTCCAGTCATTTGACGAGAGCGGCCGCCGCACTGCAGGCCCCGCTGCCATGCCCAGCACCGTTGGGTTCTGCCTCTTCTCCGGCCTGGATGATGGCATGGGTTATGGTTGTGTGGAGGGCATCTTGGACTGCTGGCACCAGGAAGGCGTGGAGAACAGCCAGGACGTCCTGAAGGTAATGGCAGGCCTGCCTCAGCCCTGCTGGCTCTTCTCTGTGGGGTTTTGGGTTGTAGCTGGGCTTTTCCTTGCTAAAAGTCAGTCTGGGCAGAACTGTTCTGGGATATCCCCAGTGACGTCCATTGTTCAAATGGTGTGTATCTGAGAGCCAAAAGTTAATGATGGGTGTAATAAGGCTTCCAGCTTAGCTCAGAGAGGTCAGCTGTGTTTGTAGAAAGCAATCTGCCTTTACATTGCTGAGTATGGCACCTGTGAACCTGTTAGTGCTCACATGGCCTGGATTAAGGCTTATGCAGAAACCAAGAGCAGCATTTGAAACCTGCTGAGTCCTTTATTACAAGCTAGTGCTTTATTACCCATTTGCTCTGTGTATTGTGAATCAGGTGCCTGAAGTCAATCCCTTCCCTGCCCACCCTGCTAGAAGCTGTGCATGGGATCAAACACTCACACGTGCTCGTTCCTAGAGCATCCTCTGAGTTGCTGGCAATGGTAACAACAGTTTTCTCTTAGCATTTCCAGTCTGTGTGGATTTTGCACATCCAGGCTGCCGTAAACACTTTATCCAAAGCTCTATCATTGCTCTCTAGCAAATAAAACCCAGCTGGAGTTTGCATGTGTGCAACTCAGCTCTCTAACAGTGCTACGTGAGCCAGACTTATGTGGTAAGCCTTTAGCTTACCTCCTGCCTGTTGCTTTCTTCCTGGCTTGCTGTGTTTTGCAGTGTGTGTGCAGAGTATTCCATCTGTCCTGCTTTGTGCTGAGGGAAATCCCAAGCACTTATCACAGTAACTTTCTGATAGAGGTGGAGACCTCACAAGGAAAGACCTCTTCTGTACTGCCTCTGTTGCACACCCTCATTCTTTTACTGGGAACACTTTCAACCCCTTTATTGCAGCCTTTGAATATTTTCACAGGGCACTGCAATTAGTCCCACTAGAGAGTTGATACTTTAGTCAAGCAGGATCTTCATTTCCAGCTGGTCTTGCAGCATCATCATGGTGTTTTCCATCGCTGCAGCTGGCAGCAGCACTTCAATGTAGGAAGATGCCAGAGGTGTCTCTTGTAGTACCCAAAGCCATTCACAGCAAGCACAGATCTCATCTGAGCCTGTTCAGTTTGTTCTGTCAGTCTGTGTCCAAGTGCACAAGAAAGCACATTCTGTTCTAACACTGGATTGTTTCACAGGCTTTGGATTTCAGCTTGGATGGGAAGGTGAACCTGACTGAGCTGACACTGGCACTAGAAAATGAGCTTCTAATAACCAAGAACAGCATCCACCAGGCGGCCCTGGCCAGCTTCAAGACAGAGATCAGACACTTGCTGTAAGTCATTGGGATCGCTGGTTCTGCTTTTCCCTTTGGTTTGTTCCCCCGTCCATCTGTATGCCGTGCATATAAGCTGCAGCTCTAAGCAGTGTTGAGTTTTCTGCTGTCTATCTTGAAATACTGTCCTTGGTTATCCATCAACCTGTGCATCCACCACAGATCCACGCATCCATGCAGCAGCTGGTCTTTAAACCTGCAGGTGTTACCCACCAGCTTGTATAACTTGTGCCTCTCAGCTCCCCACGTCTCCTCTATGGCTGCAAGATGGGGCAGGCCCAAGTGTTTCCATTTCCTTCGCCCTAGGGAGCGAGTTGACCAAGTGGCCAGAGAGAAGGAGAAGCTGCGCTCGGATTTGGAAAAAGCTGAAAAACTGAAATCTCTGATGGCTTCTGAAGTTGATGACCACCATGCAGCAATAGAGCGCCGCAATGAGTACAACCTCAGGTATGGTGTTGGGTCACCCCATGGGTGACAGCAGCTCCTGCTCATCCTGAGCATTGCTGCAGGGTAGCACTGTAAGTGCTTGGGGCTGGAGCCTGGGGCAGGGGTGAGCACCTGAGGTTTGGCTGAAATGCAGCCTGAGATTGTCCTGTGGCTGGCCAAGTTGAAGCTGTCCTGTGCTGTTCCTTCCCCACCTGCCAGACTCATCCATGGGTATCAGGTGGTGCCAGCCCCATTCCATCTCTCTGCTTCCCACCCCGGTGTCTGTGCACACCACTCACCTTCCCCATTATGAGGTGCATGTGGATGTCAAACTTCAAATATTGATATCTCTGGCTGCAGAAACAGCAGCCTGAATCCCAAAATCCTGGCCAGGCTGTGGGCTGCACATCTGAAACCTCTCTGTGCTGTGCAGTTAATCCATGCTTCTCCAGGCAGCAGTCCCTCCTGGTGCAGGCACTGATAGGAGCAGCGCCGATTACCGCCCAGCTTAACTCACAGCCGTATTTGCCTGCTGCTTTTCCTGAGCTTTTCTTACCTTTGATCCCTTAATAGGAAGCTGGATGAGGAGTACAAGGAACGAATCGGCGCTCTGAAGAATGAGCTGCGGAAAGAGCGCGAGCAAATCCTGCAGCAGGCTAACAGACAGCGGCTGGAGCTGGAGCAGGAGATAGAGAAGCTGAAAACTGATGAGAACTACGTCCGTGACCGCCTCACGCTGTCCCTGAAGGTAACAGAATGAATGGACCCTGAAGGGGGGGGCAGTGCTGCGATTAGCTCCTTAATCATAGGATCTCTGCCAGAGTGGGTTGAGCTGAGTGAAAGTAGGTGTAGCTGCAAGGTAAGGGCATCAGACTCAGTGGCCCTTATGAGTCCCTTCCAAGTCATAGAATCATAGAATTAGAAGGGACCTTGAGGGTGCCACATGTAGGGCCACCAACTCGGGGTGTTTCATTCTGTATCTGTGATGGCGTTTTTTGGATCACCTTGATTGGTTCCTGTTTGGGCTCATGGGGCTCCGTTTCAAATGGTAAAGCAAGCCTGCTTGCTTATTTCTTTTGGAAAGCTCTTTTCTGCCTTCCAGTGCAGTCTTTCACCTGTGACCCTACACACTCGCATCCTTCAGCCATATTATTTTTTAGGAAACGCTTAAATCACAGCCAGCTTTTCTCTGAAGCTGATAACTGCTGAATCATAATGTAGAGCTTTGGATTGTTTGTAAGCTCATCACAGGAGAAAGATAATGGTGTTACCTTAGGGGCATCACAGGCACTGACAGTCAACACGCTGCGTTGAGCAGCTTCTAAGCAGGCTGGCTGCCCTGTGAGCATCGAGGGAGCTGTGAAACACTCCTGAAGCAGCAGTTTGAAAGAGAGAGGAGTTGGGGTGTGTTGGGACCACCAGCAGCTGCTTTTTTGTGGCGAGAGGGATTGTGTGTGTTTGAAGGGTGGGAAACCAATGCACAATTCCCATTGCTGGCTGAAACTCATAACAATGTCAGGCTCTAACTTGACTCTCTAATGAGCCATTGCTTGCTATTGCTTTCTTTCTGCAACTGCTGAGGCTGCTGGGTTATGTTTGGTGCAGGAAAACAGCCGTCTGGAAAGCGAGCTCTTGGAAACTGGAGAAAAGCTGGCCGAGTATGAAAGCCTGGCAAACAAACTGCAGAGGAACTTGGAAAATGTCCTGGCTGAGAAGGTAAAGCCTCCTCTTACCAGCACGTGCTCCCAATTGCCCAACTCATTTCCAGTGAAGGAAATCACAGATCCTCCAGCTCGCCTGTAGTTTGGTTAAAATCGACAGTGGAGAGGCACATAGCAAAGCAATCATTCCATGGGTCTGAGGGGTGTTTTGGTGTTTGTTTGTTTGTTTGTTTTTTATCCCCTTTGTAATTTTGGATATATCCAATCTGCAGATCCTTTCTAGGGCAGCTCATATCACAGAATCACAGCATGGCCTGGGTTGCAAAGGAGCACAGTGCTCATCCAGCTCCAACCCCCTGCTGTGTGCAGGTCACCAACCAGCAGCCCAGGCTGCCCAGAGCCACATCCAGCCTGGCCTTGAATGCCTGCAGGGATGGGGCATCCACAGCCTCCTTGGGCAACCTGTGCCAGTGCCTCACCACCCTCTGGCTCAAAAACTTCCTCCTCATATCCAACCCAAACCTCCCCTGTCTCACTTTAAAACCATTCCCCTTGTCCCATCACCATCCACCCTCACAAACAGCCGTTCCCCTCCTGTTTATCCTCTCCCTTTAAGCACAGGAAGGCCACCATGAGGTCTCCCTGCAGCCTTCTCTTCTCCAAGCTCAACAAGCCCAGTTCCCTCAACCTTTCCTCACACAGAGCTGCTCCAGCCCTCTGCTCATCTCAGTGCCTCCTGTGGACCCGCTCCCAGAGCTCCACGTCCTTCCTGTGCTGGGGGCCCCAGGCCTGGATGCAGTGCTGCAGATGGGGGCTCCAAGAGCTGAGTAGAGGTGGACGATCACCTCCTTGTCCCTGCTGGCCGCCCCTTTTTCATGCAGCCCAGAACACAGCTGCCCTTCCATGCTGCAGGCGCACATTACGAGGTGCTTGGTGTTGCATTGCACCTCTGCTAAAACTTCATCTGAAAATCAAGATAACAGCTGAACGTGGTGGTATTCCAGTGGTAAAATAATAAATAAGGCAGAGAGAGGCAGCAGGCTGTGAGCAGGGCTGTGTGGAAGGCTAACTGGGTGGTGCTGGTGCCGTTTCAGTTTGGGGACCTGGATCCCAGCAGTGCGGAGTTCTTCCTGCAGGAGGAGAGGTTGGCCCAAATGAAGAATGAGTACGAGCTGCAGTGCAGGGTGAGTGGAGCCCTGGGGTTGGGGACCCAGCACTGGGCAGGGATGGGATATTTCCGAGTGCTGTCTGTTTCTGGAACAGCTCTGGCTTAAGAAAACAGAACTACATGCATTTAAAGCTTGCCTTCTCCTCCCCACATCTTGTGCAGCTGAATGCTTCCTGAAGGTGGGTCTGCGAGTATCTATTTCTGTATCTGTTTACTGAGGATTGCACTGATTGCAAGCAATTGGCTCATCTGTTCTGCATTATCCCTGTTCACTGTGGAACCAGCTTGGCTCAGGACTGTGATTGAAACAGCATAGCAGCTCTGTTAAGTTGGGGTTAAAAAGCAAATATTTTCTAGAAATATTTGCTGAACTGATTGATATTTCTTGATAAGAATTGGCTTGAACATGCAGCTGGCTCTTTTGAGTGCTGGCAGACACTATCAGTCTTTAGGGTTCCCTTTCTGAACCCTCCAAGTCTCCAGAGCTGCATGTTTACATGTTGAGGCATTCATATCTTCAATAAGTGCTGTTCACTGAGCTCAGCACACTGCCTTTGGCACAAACACTTGGGAGGTTCTGCTGGCAAGTGGGCAGAAGTACCAGATGGGAAAGGCACTAATGAGGAGATCTCTTTCCTAATTTGATCTTTTACTTCTGCTTTGATTGTTTTTTTTTTCCAAGTAGAATGGTATTTAGGAAGTATTTCTCAACTGTGTTTGGAAGCGTTCCGAAGGTGATGTTTAAAACTGTAGGAGGAAGAAGGAATAAAAAGTGCAAGTCCTACAGAGTGGTGGAGTTCAGAAGCACAATACATGCATGTATCAATCTGAAGGAGGCTCTGTCATCTTAATAAGAAACATATCTGCTCCTTGCACATGGGCTGGCACTTGGAAAAACAGTGCCTTCTCCAAAAGAAGGGACCTGTAGAGTCATTCAGGTTGAAGACATCCAAGTCCCCAGCCCACCCCACCATGCCTGCTGCCCACATCCCTCGTGGACAGTGACCACTCCTGGGCAGCTGTGCTATGGCAGCTCTGCTCTTTTGGAGAGGAAATGTTTCCTAATATCCAACCTGATCCTCTCCTGGCACAACTTGAGGCCATCACTTCTCATCCTGGTTGTTAACTGGCAAGACTGAGTCCTTATCTGCAGCAATTCCCTCCTGCATGTCTTGTGTCTGTGTTATGCTGGTGTGCAGACACCCAGCTGTTTGGCTGCTTTTACCAAAGCTTTCCTTTGCTTCTCCCCTGCAGGAGCTGCAGGACCAGATCGATGAGCTGCACTCAGAGCTGGAGGAGTACCGCACTCAGGGCAAGGTGTTCAGGCCGTCCCTGAAAAACTCACTGTCAGAGGAGTTTGATATTGATATCAAAAGCTATGGCAACAGCGGCGTTGAACCTGACCAGGGTAAGGCATGTTTCCTCTATGGGAAGTCCTGCAGTGTAGATATTTAGAATGTCTCGGATGGGGTTATGTAAAGGCTGCCCCAAACCTTCCCAGTGAAATTCTTAGCAGCACTCCCATTTTAATGTGCAGCATTAAGTGCACATGACTGCTGTGCCATGTTCAAAGCTCAGATCCTAGAATGGCCTGGGTTGCACAGGAGCACAGCGCTCATCCAGCTCCAACCCCCTGCTGTGTGCAGGTCGCCAACCAGCAGCCCAGGCTGCCCAGAGCCACATCCAGCCTGGCCTTGAATGCCTGCAGGGATGGGGCATCCACAGCCTCCTTGGGCAACCTGTGCCAGTGCCTCACCACCTCTGGGTGTATGAATACATCTATTGAAAACGTAGCTCTTGGTGTTTCAAGGTGATGCATGTAATTATTCTCTTTAAAGGACTTGGGTCGGAAGACTGCAATCCATTAAATATGAGCATAGAGGCTGAAATGGCCATCGAGCAAATGAAGGAGCAGCATCACAGGGATTTGCATCACCTCAAGCAGGAGCTGGAAGACACTGTAAGCTATTCTTGTTTAGAACTTCACCAAATTTTGCAGCTTGGAGCGGTCTAAGCTTGTTCTGCAACAGGAGCAGATGTCATTGGTCCTGTTGGGCTTCTGTTGCATTAGATACACTGGACTTCAGCTCCAGTTAAGAGCTGGTAACTATGCTGCATCTGTATAATGCACTCATTTCATGTATGGTATAGGATAATGAAATTATCTTATAAGGGGGTAATGAAATTGTATTCTGACAGAGTGGCAACTGTCTGCCCTGGTTTGCAAAGGGAAACAAGTGGTGCTTGTGCGGAAAGGGAACTAAAGCAATATTACCCTGACATCATTACTTTTCTTGTCACTTCTAAAACATTAATGAAGGGAAACCCCTCACCTCTTAATCTGGGGAGGGTTTTGAAGAATGTGTTGGTGAAATGCTTCCATGGCAGCTACAAACCTGACTGAGAACTTGAAAATGAGCAGGTTCTCTCTTCTGTGACAAAGCTCATTTAATGTAAAGATATGAGTTTCACCAAAGCCATCTTTATCACAGTGAGACATGATGCTGAGCTCTTAGCAGGGGAAACCAATGTAAAGAGTGAGTCAGAATCACAGAATGGCCTGGGTTGGAAGGGACCTCAAGGATCACGAAGCTCCAACCCCCCTGTGCCATGCAGGGCCACCAACCTCCCCATTTCACAGCAGCCCAGGCTGCCCAGGGCCCCATCCAACCTGGCCTTCAACACCTCCAGGGATGGACGGGGCATCACAGTCTCTCTGGGCAGCTGTTCCAGCACCTCACCACTCTCACAGCACACAACTTCCCCCTGACATCCAACCTAAATGTCAAAATGCTCTATAAAATATGTGAAAATATTCTAGAGATGTTTCCTGTTCATTTCTGTTGTATGTTCTGGAGAAAAAGTCTGTGTTCCTCCTGCAGGTGAGCCACTATGAGAAGCAGCTGGGTGAGACAAAAACCCACTGTGAGAAGGAGCAGGAGGACATGAGGAAGAAGTACGGTGAGGAGATGCGTGTGATGGAGAAGCAGATAGCTGGGCTCAGAAGCCAAGTTGCAGAGCTGCAAGGAGAGGCTGCAGCACTCAGGGAGCAGCAAGAAAAGCTTGGCTGTGAACATAATGCTGAGAAAAACAAGCTGCAGGTCAGCTTCAGTGAGGAGAAAGCCAATCTGCAGGAGCTGCTGAGGCAGGAACATGAGGACGATGTTAGAGCCAGGTTGGAGCAGGCCAATGAGAAGTTCAGTCGAGAACGGGAGGAGCTGATCCAGAACGGTGTCTGGGCAGAGGAGAAAATGAGAGCACTGCTGCAGGCACTGCAGGATGAGAAGGGAGAGCTGGAGCACGGCTTCCATCAGCAGCTGGAGAGGATGGCAGAAGCACATGCCCTGGAGAAGGAGGAGCTGCTGAGGAAGCACAGGCAGGAGTTGGAGGAGGAGAGGTGAGTGTCCCCGTGGCTCTACAGCTGTGCTCTGTGCTGCTTGGCACTGTGACCTTAGCAATGCTGGCACAGAGCTCGCTGCCAGTGCTCATTTCAGGTGCTGTAACTGTACAGTGCTTTATTCCAGAACCAGATGGGCTCATACACAGAGCTGTGTCTTCTGACCCTTTTCCAGCAGATATTTCTGCTGGCTCTTAGCTTGCCCAGAGGCAGCAGTGCTGCTAAAGCGTAACCAGGCGTGGTTAATTTGAGCTCCATTTGGCATCCCTGTGCTTTACAGTCCTTTGATTTCAAGTTGTCCTTTTCTGAAGAAGCAAGCAGGTGGTTGGTACATGCATCTAGTCAGGAGTGAGCGTCAGAAGTAATGAGAGCATCCTGGGCTGACAGGGAGAGATGGGGACAAGAATATTTGCCCCCACAAATCCAATGCCAGGTATAGGAGAACACATCCATGGCAATTATCATTGTATTATCGATGAATTATTCAAGTTTCAATAAATGGCCTCGTTTAACTTTTTGCTCTCAGAAACACCCAGCAAACAGTAGTGCCACTAAAACTCAGTAGGAGAAGGTATTCAGTTGAAGTAGCTTTGAAAATTGATCTCTTCCTGAGATAGCCCAGGGTTTAGTAATGTGTTATGTTAACCACGTTTAGGCAAAAAATGGAAAGTGACTATAACAGAAGAGCATCTCATGCTGAAAGCCAGTTCTCTGCTGACACCCAAACACTTGTGAATAAGTATGAAGAAACCATCCAAAGTCTGGAGGGCCGCTACCAGCGAGAGCTGCGTGAGTTTGTGGAACTGCAGAGAGAGGAGAAGGCTCAGTGGGAGTTTGAAAGGGATGAGATTGCCCAGGAGGTCGCTGAAGCCCACGAGCAGCTGAAGGAAAGCCTGGCAAATGAGAAGGCTGCATCTGTTGCCCTGAGCCAAGAGAAGGAGCTCCTGGAGAAGAAGTTTAAGGAGGAGGTGAATACATTGATGTGCGAGAAGGAGCAGCTCCAGAAAGAGCTGCAGGAGCTGAGGGATGCTGCTGAGGAGCAGGAGAGAAAGCTGAGCAGTGAGATGCTACAGCTTCAAAATGACCACGAGAGAGAGCTGAAGGACAAAGAGGAGCGTATCAACACGGTGGAGGAAAGTGGGAAACTGGTCAGGCAAAAGCTGGAGAGACTCCATAGTGAATATAAGCGGGAGAAGGAAGAACTGAATTCCAAGCTTCTGGCCTTGGAAAGTTTAAACAAAGACATTTGTGTGAAAGCAGAAGCAGAAAAGGCAGAGATGAATTTGGAAATCTCAAACCTCCAAGAAAAAGTGCAGAAGTTGCAGTGGGAGAACCTTAGTTTTTCTGCACTACAGAACCACTATCGGGTCCTGGAAAACGAATACACCAAAGCAAAGAGCAAAATAGCTTCTTTCTCTGCTACGGAGCCGCTGGGAGATGATGCAGATGTTCTCATAAACCTGCAGAAAGTGCATGAGCAAGCTGTGAAGGAAAATGTCAGGATGGCTGCTGAGATTGTCAGGCTGCAGCAAAGGCTGCAAGATGCTGAGTGCAGATCCATGGGGCATGCCTGGCCTAATTGCTCTGACCAAACATTGCAGCTGCTAGACGAGGTGAATCCTCTTTTTGGAGGGCTGCCCTGTGACTGTAGAGATGAAGGCAAGGGAGCGGATCTGGATGGCTTTCAGCTCCTGGAGGCTGATGCTACAGACCTGGAAGAAGGGATGGGTTGTGGTTTGGAGGAGCTGTGTGATGGAAGCAGAGCGGACAGTGGTGCTCCTGAGGTGTGGATGTGCCACGTGCCAGGGGGTAAAATGGCACTGGAGAGTGATGGCAACCTTGACTTGGACAAGGATCTAGAGGTGGGTTCTCAGGTGCCTCTGCTGCAAAGAAACAGAGATCTTGAGGGAGTACCCAGGCTAAAAATACTCCAGAATGGTATTGAACAGCAGAATGTCTGTCTGCTAAGTAACAGAGCAGCTCCCAAGAGTAAAAGCTTTCATCCTGATGCTTCAAAGTTGCAGACTGAACTTGAGCACGTCAAAGAACTGGAACGTGCTCCTGGATTGATGAACGGTGACCTGGAAAGTGCAATACCTCAACTCTGGGAGAGGGTTGAAGAGTTGCAAGAAAGATTGATGGCACAAGCCAAGCTGCTGTCACTGCAAGAAGAAATTCAGGCAGAAAATGAGGGCCTGAAATCTGAAGTGATGAAGTTAGTTGAAAAAAACAGAGTCCTGGAAGACAACCTGTGTGAACTGAGAAGCTTTCATTGCAAGCTAGAAGAAAGCGAGCTGGAAAGTATGAAGCTCTGGGAGGAAAACATGCAGCTCCCCAAAACAGTTAGAGAGTTGAAAGATGGCCAAACCCAAAGTGTTGGAGGAGAAATAGATGTGTCCAGGGAGAAGTCAAGGCTGCGATGCCAGCTTGGAAAGCCAGAAGAACAGGCGGCAGTGCTTAAGGCTCTGCAAGATGAGCATGCCCAGTGTGGCAGCATGATGAAGGAAGCATCAACAGAAAAGACAGGTCTGCAGGAGCACAGTGAGATGCTGGAGGAGGTCCCCACTCTGGTTAACCCCAATGCCATGCATCTCCAGGAGGAGGAGAGGAACGCAGTGACGCGTGGCTTACAAAGCACGTGCACCGAGCTGCAGCAAAAAGTTGATCTTTTGAGGTAATGTACGCTTACAGAGCTTTGTGGGAAGCGTGGCAGCCCCACAACGCTCCAGCTTGCTGCTTGCTCCACGTAGAAACTAACCTAGTGTGTCCTGCTGACCATCCTTAGCCCTACTGACTGCCCTGCGGCCGCCACCTTAACCTCTGTAGCTTAGCCCTTAGAAAGCAGTGCCTCGGAATCTGACTGCTGGTAGGTGTCTGAATGTGGATAACCATGGCTGGGATAAACGTGTGGCTTGCTCCTCTGAACGTGACTTAGCATGACGTAACACAAGTGATTTGCCCTTGGATGCAGTTGCCTTTGCAGCGTATACAGCAGGGCCCTCTGTGTTAATGTCTGAAAGATGGTAGTTACGTTTTTCAGGATGCTTTCAGCTGTCACTAATATCACCTCTTTGTTCTTTTCCTTTCTAGCACTGAGTGTTACTTGGAAAGCTAGAATTGTTTTGCTTTTTCTAAATACCGGAGGCAACACTAAAGAGTCACAGAGCCATTGAATGGTTTGAGTTGGAAGGGAACCCTTCAAGGCCATCTGATCCCACTCCCCACAGTGCACAGGGACACCCACAGCTCCATCAGTGCTCACTGCCCATCCCCTGATCTTGGATTTCCTTAGGAATGGGGCACCGCTGCCTCTCTGGGCACCCCGTGCAGTGCCTCCCCATCCTTAATGTCAATAACTTCTCCCTTATGTCCAATCCAACTCTCCCCTCTTTTAGTTTGAACCTGTTTCCCCTTGTCCCGCCACAGCAGTTCCCGTGCTGCAGTCTGCTTATGGTGCTGTGGAGCTCTTCAAATTCACAACGTTACTGGTACTTAAGGACCAGAAGGTATAATACAGTATTGGAGTGCAAAACTTCTACTAGCTATCTTAAATAACTTTGTGCAGGTGTTTTGTACAGTTAATATCCCCTTTCTCATGATTCAAGGAAGCAGTCTAAATGTAAAATCTCTATGCAGCTCATATGAATTACCCAGCTGCAGCTTTGTTGCCAAGGATCACAAGCAGGTCAGGCTTTCAGTGACTTCTCTCCTTCGGTGACGCTCAGAAGCTGTTCTCACGTGTCTCATCTCTCTGCCACAGATGTGAGGCTGAGAAGCTCAGAGAAGAAAACGCCATTCTGAAAAACAAAGTGATGCTGTTAAATGAGGAGGGCAGTGCTTCCAGCCTGAAACTGCGGGAGCTGAACGGATCCCGGGAGGAGATGCGGTAAGGACTGCGTGCGACCACGTGTGCACCTCTGGGCTCTCGCTGCAAGTTCACATCCTGTCTCCTAAAGCTCCTGCACACCTTAGCTGTTGCCCAGGCTTTGAAGCAAGCAGGCTGTCTGGTGCCACCAGCAGTCCCTGTGCCCCTCCCCAGCCCACAGTTTCTCCTGCCTGATCCTAGAGCTAAAGGAGGAGCTTTAACCCATGGGTCATTGTCATAGAATCACAGAATGGCCTGGGTTGCAAAGGAGCACAGTGCTCTTCCAGCTCCAACCCCCTGCTGTGTGCAGGTCACCAACCAGCAGCCCAGGCTGCCCAGAGCCACATCCAGCCTGGCCTTGAATGCCTGCAGGGATGGGGCATCCACAGCCTCCTTGGGCAACCTGTGCCAGTGCCTCACCACCCTCTGGATGAAAAACTTCCTCCTCATATCCAACCTAAACCTCCCCTGTCTCACTTTAAAACCATTCCCCTTGTCCCATCACCATCCACCCTCACACACAGCCGTTCCCCTCCTGTTTATCCGCTCCCTTCAAGCACTGGAAGGCCACCATGAGGTCTCCCTGGAGCTTTCTCTTCTCCAAGCTAAACAAGCCCAGTTCCCTCAATCTTTCCTTATAGAAGAGGTGCTCAGCCCTCAGTCTTCTAGGAAAGAAATGCATGGGGGTGTCAAGGAAGCAGGTACTCACCAAGTCTGTGCAAAGCAGTGATGCTAAGTGTAAAATGGAAGTCCAGAATGACCATTTCTTGTGAGGTGAACCAGCTTGTTTTTGCAGGCATGTATATTAGCAAGTGACCTCACACTGATGAGCTTTCCTTTTTCCTAGGCTAAAGATAGAGGCGGTAAGGAAGGAGAAAGTGGCTGTGCAGAAGATGGTTGACAATCTGAAAAAGCAGGTATGCAGACTGAGTCCAGCAGCTTCTCTGGAGAAACATCACTGTAATCATCGCTCCTTCCTTACGTGGTCCAATCTGAAGGCAACTGTGATGCTATTGCAATTGTTTTTTTAAAAAAAATAATCTACCATGCAGTGCCAAAATTAGTCATAACTGACACTGCTCTCCCAATTCAGGTAGCAGATCTGAAGGCCAGGAACCAGCAGCTGGACTCTGAAAACACTGAACTGAGCCAGAGAAACTCCAAAAACCAAGCAGATGTGCAGGATCTCAACCAACAGCTGGCAAGGGTGCTCAAGCAAAAGGAAAGGGAAGCAGGAAAATGTACCCTGGAAGAGTGGGAAAAGGAGAGATTGGCACTGAAAGAGGAACTGGAAAACAATAAAGTAAAGGTATGGGATAAGTGGCTCTAATGGAATGGAGCAACTGAACCTTTAGGAATTAGCATCCATTTCCCTAACCTGTATCACTGGTCCCAGCACCCTCTGCTGAACCTTCATTACTGTCTCTCAAACTGAGATCTGGGCTTTTTACTTCTCGCAGTCATCAAATGTGGTGTCCTCCTTGGAGATGGAGCTGTCAGAAATGAAAGTTCAAGCTCGTGTGTTGGAGCAGGAGAACCGCCTTCTCAAGGAGGAGCTGGAGAAGGCAAAGCAGGTATGGCACCCTACCCAGGTACCACCAGGTGATGGCTTAGAGCCACCAACCTGTCTCTTCTTGGGCCCTGCTCTCTTGATTGAGATGGAAGTAGTTAATTTCTCTAACCAAATGTCATAATGTAACGTGTATTATCAAGGACAGCGTTATAAATCTTCTTGAGACAGCCTCTCAGTGCAAGGCACAGCTGTTCAATTGTGGTTGATTTTGCTTGCTTAGACTTTGCCAAAAGTTATTCCAGAGCAATAGATCTTCACAGTCAGTTGTTAATGACAAAGACCAAGACTTGAAGATTTTGATTCAACAGCATATAAGGCTTTTCTAGCTTGTGTGAGTAGGGTGGAATATTTCACTGAGCAGTTGGTGATATCCATCCAGCTCCTCTGAAGGAGTGGTTGCTTCCACCATGTCCCCTAGCAAAGCCAAAGCAATAAGAGTAGCAATTGGAGACTTGGACAGCTTAGAACTTTAAAAGGTAATGTCCTGGAGGGCCTGGCTGTTGCCCATATAAACAGGGTTCATTTGGCAGCAAGTATATAATGATAATTATAAATAATGAAGGCTGCCAATGAATTAGCCTTCCTGATTAGGGTGCCACAAAGTCATTTTCTTTAAAGCAGAGCGTTCATTTGATGTTCCCCATGCTTGGGATTTATAATGGCCTTAAAAAGCAAAAGCAGATGAGATCTATTGAGTCAAGAGTGGATTGCTGCTCGAGTGTAATTAAAGACAGAAGATTGAGTGAGCAAAGCCCAAAGAGCAGAGGAGCAGGCAGACAAAACTGATGCACTGTGCCAGATGGGAAAGGGATCAGAAGTCAGCTGGGTGGCTTTTCTTTCCTCCTTTTCTGGGAAGGAGGTATCCAAAGCCTTATCTACTCTGTTGATGTTAGAAGGTGACTGGGGACATGGATGTGGGAAGGAGAACTGTCTGTTCTGATTATTCATAAAAATAAAAACCAAAACCCAGCACGATACACAAAATGAAAATTCAAAGCTTTAGTATCGGCTATGTCCTCTACCCAATGCAATTGGTGTTGTACAACCCAGTGGGTCCTATGTTATGTCATGGGCTCTAACACACAAGCAGTGCAGGAGGTGTAGCACCTGTCTGCAGGTGTGTGGCTCACAGGAGCCCTGACACAGGCTGCCCTGGGTCATGAGTGGTATTCTGCTCCCATCTTTTCCACTCTATCCAGTGCACTACAGTTGGTCCTAAGGTGAGGAGAAGGCTTTGTTTGGTGCTTGCATGTAAAGCTCTGAACTGATGGAGGGCCTTGTCTCCCACAGCTGCCCAGGTGCCCTGACCTCTCTGACCTTCAGAACGAAGTCTCTAGCTTGATGACTAAGAATGAAAAGCTGCTGAAAGAAAAGGAAGCGCTGAGCGAGGAATTAGGCAGATGTATTGATAAGGTAAGGCAGGACTGCACAGCCATGCCCCTACCTGGGTGCTGCAACAAGGTGCTGAAGTTCTTATGTCACAGTCTGCATCCTTCTAAGCTATGAAACTGCTTTGGGTTTCCTTCTTACCTTCAGGCCAGATCGAGGCTTCTGTGCCGTTGCATTTTTTCCCTTGCTGGTCTTAAGGAGAGCTTTTGGAGCATAGTTTGAGTGCAGTTTGGTTACGTAGCAAATTCCAAACAGTGAGGAGCAGAGGCATGGATAGGAATGTTGCAGCAGGACAAGGAGGACAGTGTTCTTGCACTCTGTATTCTAACTCCAGGCTGGAGCAGCACAGTGGGCGTGCCATAAATAATGATCCTGTTGTGCACAGATTCACAACTGAGTTGGTTGGTTTTGTTTGCTCTCCTCCAATTTCCTTGCATAGCTGTAACTGCATCTATGTAACTCCTAAAGTCAAACTGAGTTAAAGAAAATCCCAAATGATTCAGGCTTAGTCGTGTATCTTATTCCAGGTGGCCAAAGTAAGCTGCTTGGAGAGTGCTGTTGGCAGCTTGAAGCAGGAGCAGAAGTCCTGGGAACAACAGAGTCAGACCTTGAAAACGCAGCTATCAGCTTCACAGGAGAAGGTATAACAGTGGGTTTTGTTACAGTCCTGAATCAAAGCATTTCGGAATTTCTGGTACAGCTTTTTTCATAGAAAACAGCCCTCTTCTAACATGTGCAAGGACTTCATGCAACTCAGAATGGGTGCTTTGATGGGCTTTCAAAGTGATGTCCTTAAAGGACAAAAGGAAACTTGTTAAATATGACCTTTTTTTTTCCCCACATCCAAGTTCCTCTTGCCAACTCACTCTGCCCAGCTGTCCCTCAAGCACTGCAGTGATCCTGCTTCTGCTCCCTGCTTTTTGATGGTCGTTTGTTTCCTAGCAGCCAAGAGCAGGGACAAATGGCCATTTGCTTGGCTGATGGCACTGCTCTTGTCTCTTGTTGGCCATGGGCCACCAAGAAGAAGAAATAAATCAGAAGGAATCTCCTTTTCCCAGCATGTCACAATAAGTATTCTGTGATGGAAGATGAGTGCAGTATTTTGGCCGTTTTTAAGAGGGTGTGGCAGCTGATTTGAAGCAGAAACTTGGAGAACTGTTTATCACTTCCATGAGCTGGGCTGCCAGCATCATCTCATCACCCCTTCCAACAGTCAGCAGTCAAATAGCAGAGATTTGTGGCACCTTACAGGTTCAGAGCCTGGATGAAACCCTGCAGAACACCAGCCTCCAAATGTCCTGCCTGAGGTCGGACCTGCGGGTGGCACAGCAGGAGAAGGAAGCTCTTGAGCAAGAGGTGATGTCTTTACACAAGCAGCTGCAGAACGCCAACGAGAAGGTAACTGAGCTCTGTCAGATCCACGTGGATGACTTACAGATGGGCATCTTGTCACTGGAGCCAGTCTGATTGTTAGGCTGGCTCATTAATGAGCAAGGCAGAAATAGTGCTGCAAGCCTGAGCAAGCAGCTTCTGAGTGACATTGGTTTTGACTCTTATAAACACAAGTGATAGAAAGCTAGCAATCAAACTGCCTAGAGGGAGGAGGGCATAAAAAGACAGTATTTCTGTGATGCTTTCTGCTTTTAATAGTTTTCATGTTGAAGAGATAACTATCATTAGCCTGTTAAGGTTGTTTGCAATGCCAAGCTGATGAGGAGGTGGGTCTGAAGGAGGTGGCAGGCAGCAGTCCTGCGTTAGCATTATGAATGTAGCCCCCGATTTGGCTGCTTTGCTGTGTAATTAAAGGAATATTTAATGAGCACACGGGAAGGAGAGTGCTTCAGAATTGTGCAACAGGAGCTGAATCACAGCTTTGCTGAATAATATGTAATGGAGTTCTATTATTTATTTGATGAGGCTGCAAAATAGAGCCCAACTTTTTGTGCCATCGAGCTGAGTGTGCGCTCACAGTAAGCATTCCAGCTGTGATTTGGCAAAGTGCTTGGCTGTACACTGGGATGACCATGTTGGATTTCACTGGCACATAGGCTGGGAGGGAGATAGAGCCCTGCAGCTACCAAAAGCCTCCTTAAACACCTCCCGAATGGAGAAAACGTCTGCTTCTCTGTTGAAGGCCTAACCCTGCAATTCTGTCTGTCTTAAGAACAGGGTCCTAGCACGGGCTGTGCCTTCCCCAGGGTGCACACAGCAGGACGAGCTGGAGCAGCTGATGGCCCAGGAGCAGCAGCTGCTGCGGCAGGAGAAGGAACGGCTGCAGAGGGAAGCCCGCATCTCTGCCACAGAGCTGGTGCATGCCAGGGAGAAGGTAGGGGATGCTTCAGATAGTCTCTTGTCGAAGATTCTGGTCTGCCCCCTCTGCTCTGCCCTGAGGAGGCCACATCTGGAGCACTGGATCCCCTTCTGGGTTCCTCAGTTCCAAGCAGATGTGCAGTTGCTGGAGAGAAGCCAATGGAGGGCAGCAGAGGTGGTGGGGGGTCATCAGATGTGACAAAGCCTTGGCACGGGCTGCCCAGGGAGGTGGTGGGGTCTCCTGTGGAAATATGCAAAACCCATCTCGAAACTTTCCTGTGCAACCTACTGTAGGGAACCTGCTTTAGCAGAGGGTTCATAGAATCACAGAATGGCCTGGGTGCAAAGGAGCACAGTGCTCATCCAGCTCCAACCCCTGCTGTGTGCAGGTCGCCAACCAGCAGCCCAGGCTGCCCAGAGCCACATCCAGCCTGGCCTTGAATGCCTGCAGGGATGGGGCATCCACAGCCTCCTTGGGCAACCTGTGCCAGTGCCTCACCACCCTCTGGCTGAAAAACTTCCTCCTCATATCCAACCCAAACCTCCCCTGTCTCAGTTTAAAACCATCCCTCCTTGTCCTCTCTCTATCTACCCTGGGTTGAATGGGGAATCTGCAGAGGGCCCTTCCATTGCCTACAACTCTGGGATTTATTTATTATGTCTTCTAGCATTCTTCGCATTTAATTTCCCAGCTCACAATATTAGGCAGATTATGGGGAGGAGAAAGAGTTGCTCAAAGCAAAAATATCAAAAGTACCAGAATCTGTTATGAATCTGAAATCAGCTGGTACCAGATATTGCAAATGCAATTGATTTATTTGCAGTGGGCTGTCAGTTTTGACCTACTGGAATGTGCCAAAAACATCACTACAAAGCAGATGGAATGGTTTGGAATATCTTCTCACATTTGTTCATCTCTGGTCTCTTCAGATCCGACAGCTGGAATCCACTGTCCTCTCCTTAAAGCATCAGAAGCATCAAAGCCAGTCAGGTATTGTCAAAGCCATAGAGCAGGAGAAACTAAGCTTGAAGAGAGAGTGTGAACAGCTACAGAAGGAGTTGTCCTCTGCCAATAGGAAGGTTAGTCCAAGTGCTTAATCTGGGGTTGGTGTGACGTGCAGCCACTCATGACTTGCATGTTGAATACAGCAGATAAAATGAAGCTGCTGCCCTTCTAAGGAAACCTCTTGTCTTCTATAGATCAGTCAGATGAATTCTGTTGGACACGAATTGGAAACAAGCTCAGAAAATGAAGGGCTAAGGAAAAAGCAAGTCAAGCTGGACGATCAGTTAATGGAGGTACTTCTCAATAGGTGCTGACTGCACTGGCTGTAGTGTGGAGGTTTATCATCAGTGTGTCACTGAATCCATGAATTCATTTATAAAACAAAAGTAAAGCTTTCCTCTTCAGGGAAAATGATCAAAACTGGAAGAATTGCTGTCTGTTGATGTTAATGTGATCTTTCATGATCAGTGTGAGTGTGATTGATGTGCTTCTGTGAAGCACAGTGTGGTTCATGGTAACTTGTGTGATGTTCCAGATACAAAGTCAAACGGGGAAGAATTTTGTTTCTGTGCTTGAGGCAAGGCTAACACTTTGTTCTTCCTTCCTAAAACATATCACCTCAAATGTCCTAACTAATATTTGTCTAATGCTGCTCTTAATGTAGAAGCCTGTTCTTATTTACCGTGAGAATAGTTGGCTGAATGGAAGCCTTGCTTAGCAGAACCTCTGAGCTGTCTCTGCAATGAACTTGGTCTGAATTTCAGTTTAAAACATTTTTAACTTGTTCTATAAATGAGACAGTCTTATAGATGAGGCTTTTGCAGCACTGTTGGTTGAAATACCTCATGGTTTTCATCAAGGAAGCAAACGGGAAACGTGTAATGCTGAATATACTCTGTAATTAGCTGTAAAATTATTAAAAACTTGATTAGAAAAATTTTGGCCAGTCGTTGAAAACAGTTTTATTTCCTGTGCCTTTGCTTTGTGTATTTCCAATTATGCTTTGGGAAAAATCCCAACTCCCAGTTGAACTCTTCAGTCTGAACATCGAGTATGGAATTGGGTTTTCTCCCAAAAGCTGTAATTCAAACATGCAGGACTTGTTATTTCTGATACCATTATCCCAGCAGGAGTGTATGACGTTCACTTAGCACTTTGTGACCTCTAACTTTCTCTTTTGTGCCTGTTCTCCTTTTGTCCATGGCTAACCTGTCTAGAACTCAGTGGTTGGAACTAGCAGAGAAGGGTGCAGTTCTCTTTCTGAAATAGTGTGCGAAGGTAGAGCAACCATTTTCAATGTACTACCATAGCATGAAGAAAACATTTTGGAATGGATTTTCTTCTTTACTCCATGCATCTTTTGAAGTAAAGGAGCCATTATTCATTTTAATGTAACGTCCTTCCTTTGGCAGCTGCACTAACCTGTTGGGTGCAGGCAGTGCGTGCTGTGATTGGATTCTATAGGAAAACATTGGATATTCCAGAGGGGTTGCAGTGAAAATGGAGAAATGACCGATTGCGTTCAAAAGGATCAAACTGATCGTGAGAAAATGAAAAGTGGCTCCATCCCTTCCTTCCCACCCAGTGACTGTGAGGCCTGAAGGTGTCCTCATGTTTGCCTCTGGCCTTCTGCATGCCTTTTCACCAGACTGTCAAGTGTTTCCCTAGTACTGACTGATATGTGCTCACACTGTGTCATCCCTGATAGTTTAGTGAGCTCCTTACTGTTCCACTTCCTTCCACAGATGAATGTGGCAAGACTACGTTGTTTTCATGGGCCATTAGCAACTTCATTTTGAGATGTCAGCATTTATTGGTGTCTCCTCAGCTCTTCCACCCGTGTGTTTGACAACATCACATGAAACCCTGTACAAATCCCATTCAAATTTCATTATTTCTGCTGTTTATGCTGTTGGTAAAAGAATAGCTTTGTTGTAGGCAAGTTGATTCAAGAGAACTTCCTGATACGTATTTATATATTCTTTAAAAAAAGCTTTTTTGAGGTACTTTATACTACTTTAAAATATCTTCTAAGCCTATATTCAATTTATTTGAGCCGGCAGAGGTGGGCAGATGCTATCACAGCCACAGCACTGATGTTCTTATCACATTTCAAGCCCCTCTCTATCTCCATTAGGGCTCCACCATTGGATACACCATTAGAGCAGCACCCTCAATGGAATTACACCATTATGTCAAGTGCTTATAGTTGATTCCATTATAGATGAACTCAATAACGGAACTGTGATGCTAATTGAGGCCTTAATTACAGCACTTGTGAAAGGAAAAGTAATACTGCTAATGTAATCTCACCTTTTCCTAAGGGACCAGAGTAATGGTTATGAGATAACGGGAGGATTTTGTGATGTGGTTAGCTGGCTCTTACAGGAAGAATGATTTTTACACGAAGAAAGCATTAATCTTATGCAAATGCAAGCTGCAAATTGGCTTGGCTGAAACTTAAGTCTCAAATTCTAACAAGCTCTGCTTGTGGCATGACTCTAAATGAGAAACATAAAATGTGTGAGGTCTCCTGTTCCACAGAAGGCTCCTAAGTAGTGAATTCAGAATACAACGCAGCAGAGAGCATGAAGATACTTTGGTCACTTCAGTCTGTATAGAGAATGTTTCGCTTTTAGGATTTTGTTTTGCTTTTTGAGGAGATTAAAGACTAGAAATAATCAATGCTGGTGGGTGACACCTTCAGCCTGCCTCATGCTGGCTTGGATATTAGGAAGAATTTCTTCTCTGGAAGAGTGGTGTGGTTGGGACAGGCTGCCAGGGAGGTGGTGGAGTCACCATCTCTGGAGGTGTTAAGGGAAGGATGGGTGCAGGCTTAGGGCCAAGGTTAGTAGGCAGCATTGGTTGCAGGTGGATGGTTGGACTGGGGGATCTTAGAGGTCTTAATGATTCTATGATAATTCTATACCAGAGCTTTGATTTGTACCAAGATGTTGTTATTAGAAGAGTTGCAAGGGCTAAGGTTAAAATTGAAAACAAAAGTGAAGTTATAGCTCAGCACAGACCTGTTTAGGATTTCGCCAGGGATTCAAGGAGCCGTAATGCAGGCCTGAAGTTATGAATCAAAGCTCAATCTCCTATAGACTTTGCAGAACTGCATGTAAAGATGCATCTTTTTCCATTGGGAAGAGTTTGTCTTAGCATCTGTTTCCGGCTTCAGACTGGCTTCCCTTGTGCACAAGAGATGCTTTAAGCTCAGTGCATTGTGTGTCATGCAAGAACAACTCCAGACACACACCTCGAGCAACGCGCCGTGCTGCTCCCCCCTGACAGCCTGTCTTGTTGCCCTGCAGATGCGACGCTCGAGCAGCAGCGGGATGCTTAGCCAGCCCCTGCACCCCCGGGAGCTCCCACAGCAGGGCTGTGCCGTGGTGCCCAGGGAGCAGTTCCTGCAGCTCCAGCAGCAGCTGCTGCAGGCAGAGCAGCGGGGCCAGCGGTTGCAGGAGGAGCTTGAGAGCAGACCTTCTGAAACCCACATGCAGCAGGTAAGGCTCTCGTTTCTCTGCAGGCTTCAGTGGGGCGTTGGGTTCGTTTGGTGTTTTGACTTTTGAGATCCGTTCTCCGTTTATGCCAGTTCAAAATCAAAATTAGTTGCATCAAAGCTGTGCACAAACAAGCCTTTATTCAGCCCACGCAGCTTGAGCCGTGGTTCAGTTCTGAAGTCCCTTTAGTCTTCATGGCTCACTCCATCCACATTCAACTGTTGGCTTTTCTCCTTGTGATCAATGTGCAGTAAGTGCTTGCAGTTGGCTTTTTATTTTCCCTAACGTCCACGTCTGGAACCTTTGCTCTGGGAAATACACAGTGCACAGACATGCTGGCATCAGACATAAAGCATGAGCTCAGGCTGTTGCTGCCACATGGAGTTCTGCCACCTGAGACATGGCAGAGCATAATACAAGCAAGTGACCCTTTTTGTAAGGTTTCCCATCTTCATTATTTGGACACGATAGGGTGTTGTTTGGAGGGCACCGTTCCTGTTGTCCTGAAACATCATCCCTGCTGTTTCTGAGGGAAAGCAATCTAATTCCAACAAAAATGCAGCCTCTGCACTCACTGGGCTGAGTCACTCCTCGTATTTCAATATGCAAGACTGAATGATAAGCAATAATAAGCTCTAGTAGCAAATTTTGCATCTCCCATGTAAAATGAACCTTAAAATTAGGCTGCCAACCCATAGTTTTGCTTGAGTACGTGCTCAGCTCCTGCTTTCTGCAGGTCTTTTTCATTGGAAAAGTCAGATGATGTTTTGGTGACCACATCCTTAAATCTCTAAAGCTTTGGCTTTGAGCACATATCTTAAAATAACAGTAATATGACTTAAGACAAAGCCCTAAGTAACATAAATAAAAGGCTAACGTTTTTATTAACCTGTTAGCAGAAAAAAACCCCACATTTTACACTCTCTTGTATTTTATCTAGAGAAAAATTAGAAATTGATATATCTACATCAGCTTTAAGTCTCTGAACTTCAAAGATTTGACCATGTTAGTAGGTGTATTTTGGAAGGTGTATTATGGGGGGGGGAAAAAATATGTCCAGTAATAGTTTCTAAAGCTTACAGAACTTGCAGTGACTGTTTTAAACCACAGCATTAAAGGGAACAGTTCCCTGCAAAGGAGCTTAACAGCAAAGAATGCAGGAGAGGAGGAAAAATGAGTTGTAAGTTTCTCTCCCTTTCACTGAGTGTGGATGGAGGTGCATTACTGATGTACTTGGTCACACACGTTGGAAAGCAAAGCATGCAGTTGAATTTTGAAATCAATATAAGCTCTATTACAGCAGCAGCATCTGCAGAGTGAGTGTGCTGTGTGCATTGCATTAGAAGCAGTTTTGTAATTCTGCTTTTGAAAGCCTGAGAAGCAATTTGCAAACTAATCATATCCCAGAACCCGCAGTTGTACAGATGCACCACTTCTATTTCCCAGAACCTTCATGAATATAAAAATCCTTTCCCGGAGGTTTTTCAAGCTTTTGCTGGCAATGCACTTAATGCTTGTAAATCTTTTTGTATCGATTTTTACTTAAAGTGAACAGATGTGAACAAAGTTCCACTTTGGAACATCTCCTACAGCTGTTTGTGTGGGCTCTACTACGTGGCTTCCTAAAGTCACTGTTGTGAAGCGTTCATTATACAACTGTAAACAAGGGCAGAGTGGTGGATGCTTTAAGCTGGGACAAACCCAACTGCTTCTTTAAGCACACCTTTAATCCTTACTCTTTTCCCTTCGTCATCCTGAAGCAAACATCTGGTTGAGTTTGTCCATTCTAATGTTCTCTTTAGCATCTTGGGAAATTGCATCCTTTCCCCTCTTCACTGTCTTTTCACCATTGAGTAGAATGTCATGGCATCCATGTTTTCTGCATCAGTTTATCACCTTGCTTTGCACTTTGCAGCCTTCTTCCATCCCCAGTCCTTCTGTGTAAGGCACCAAAGTTACCCTCCTTTTTGGAATTTGTGTGCTCCTTTTGCTTTGCTTTCTTCATTGCTTTTTGATCATGGCTACGGTGGTCTGTGTTCTCTTTTGCTTTACAGTCTGTGTTGAGCTGTTGCTTACCAAGCTCACTATTCCAACATCACCCCATCAAAGCCCCTCATCCTTTTCTCCTCTGTTAACCTGCCTACCTTGTCCCAGACAGCAGCTGCCCAGCACTGCCACATAGAATGGCCTGGGTTGCAAAGGAGCACAGTGCTCATCCAGCTCCAAGCCCCTGCTGTGTGCAGGTCACCAACCAGCAGCCCAGGCTGCCCAGAGCCACATCCAGCCTGGCCTTGAATGCCTGCAGGGATGGGGCATCCACAGCCTCCTTGGGCAGCCTGTGCTGGGCCTTGCTCAATAATGATTGCCATGGGCCCATCCCTGAGCCAAGTTTCCCAGAAGTTGCCTCCAACCTCTGCCAACCCGTAGTTCTGCTGGGAATACACAGAGTTGCTCAACTCCCCCTTTCTGCTGGTCTGCTTTGGAAAATTCAAATAACCTCTGACCAACAGCTTGTTCAGCTGTGCCAGCAGAAGGCTTGCAGCTAGGTTTGAGGAGGTCAATGGGACTGTTTTTCACAAATGCTTTTTGGCCACCTGAGGCAATACGTAGTGGCAGATACTCTCCCCTTAACAAGTGTAACTGCTTTGCCAATGGCACTTGTTGCTGTCACAGATCTTTTCAAATCCCCCCCCAAATGTGGTCCAGTCCTCTTCAGCCTCCTGACCTCTAGAAAACACATCCTGAGTATTTCCTTAATTGCATTTGTGTAGCACTAATACAGAGAAATGTGAAGTGGTGCTCTGCCTGCTTTCTCCTGTGTGTGTTTTTGTCTTGTGTTGCTTGCTTGGCTTGTGCTGCTGCTTTGCTTTGTGTACGTACGTATTTATAAAGACAACCTGGATATCAGGGTGAAGTGTCCCACTTACCTTCTCTCTCTAGGCCTTGCTACCGGAGCAGCGAGCAGTGCATGCAGATTCCTACAGGAGGATCGGGCACCTCTGACAGCTTGGCTGCTTACCACCTCATTCCTTGCCATGATACACACACACAAACACACAAACTGGCATAAGCTGAGAAACTTGAGGATCCTTTTATTTTTTTTTAAGTCTCCGCAGTGTTATTTCCTATTTATTTGCCCAGGAGTGATTTTTCTGGACGTTCTCAGCTGTTCTTTTTCATTTGTTGCAAATCATTTCTATTTATGTTATTTAAAATGCGGGTTTTCTCAATGTGGGAAGAGCCTATTTTTCTTAAATGGTACTGATTTTATATGAGACAAAGGAAATCTGGGGTATTTATGCTGCTTTTTTTTTTTTTGTATGAGATGCCTAAACTTTTATACTGGGGAAAGATGACATTTTTGATGTAAATGCAAAATAAATTTTTTTTAAACATGACGTCTCTTGTCTTAATAGCATCAGTAGCCTCAGCTTTATGAACAAGAATTAACAAGTTTTAGACACCATTGTTGAATTTCTTCATGAATGGGCAACCTGAGCTGGTGGTTGGAATTGGATGGGCTTTAGGGTCCCTTCCAACCCAACCGTGCTGTGGTTCTATCATATGACTTCTGGGGAAGATTTGCAGTAGAGGATGTACTTTGATAAGGAATATTCTGCTTCCCCAGGACGCATTGGAGCACATTTGAGACAAGAGTTTCCGTAGTACTGAGATCCTATTGCTGGGACCATCAAGTAAAAAGGGTAGTGGAAGGAAAGGGGAAAATGATCAGACTTGTTTCTCAGATGATGTTCCTTAGCGTTTTTCTCCTGTCTCCAAGTACTAGATTAAATGAGATTTATTACTAATAATTTGAGGTCAATAACCGCTTCTTTAAGGGTTATCTTTTTTGTTTATCTTCCTAAAAGCTTGAGCTGGCTTCTCCCATCAAGCATGAAGTGTGAAATTAGGTAGAACGCTCTCAAATTATCTTCAAGCCAAAAATCAAGGATCACGGACATTAAGACCACTAATCTAATTCTTAGGTTCCACTGAACCACTCCCTCAAGGCTCCAAGTGTGCCAAGTACGATGTGTAATGCCCAGCCATGGTCTTGAATTCCAATTAAGTTACAGAAGATAACAAAGATGACTTTGCTGGAATTCCTTTTAGTAGTATGTATTAAAAGTTAGAAACGCACCCAGCCCAGCAGCTCTTTAACTCTGCTTTCTGGGTGACACTAATGCAGCGTTTTTTGATGTCTTTATAAGCTAAGCAGTCATGCAGCTCCATAATTAGACTTAGGAGCTTCTGGAGTTCCAACAAATAAAATCTTGAGCAGACTTGAATCAATCCATCCAACAGGATGTTTCTACAGCAGTTAAGATGAACAGCCGACTCCTCGCAGTTCCCGGTGTTTGTGACTTATTTGGGAGACTTGCATTCAAACTGTTGATGCAACAGGCATTCTCATAGAGTCATGGAATCACCAAGGTTGGAAAATATTAGGAGATCATCCAGTCCAACCACCCACTTATAGTTCTCACTAAACTGACGTCTGTGGTTTGTTTTGATTGTAGTTAGGTTTACCCACTGCCTCACTCAAGAAAAATAACAAAAGCACATTGGATTATTCAGAAGCTTTAGCCTTATACAACTAATCAAATAAAGTAGAAATCAGGATCGAAATAATAACGTGCTAATTTTAGGGTATAATTGAATTTTGAAAGGCCTTTGGAATGGAGAGTTACGGTCAAAGTAACAAGCCAGCATGACTGCCTCTTTTCTTTTTCCCCTAATACAGATCAGCATCCAAAGAATGAAAAAGGGAATCTATCCAGGTCCAGTTATCACAGCTGATACAGAACTTAGAATTTTATATTGATTTGTCTTATATAAAGTAATCTAATATGTAACTTAGATTTAATGCCATGAATGTCCTTTAAACATCGCTTCCATGATCTGTTTATTAACTGTGTTGACTCTTTAAAATGAACACAAACGTGGAGTGGCAACACTTTTCTTCTGCATGAAGTGAAAAGAAGGATAGCACTGAGTGTGACCTGATCTTTGTGAACAGATTTCTTTTCTTTTGCTTTCTAGGGGGGCCATGAGCAGCTTCTGAAGATGATGGAAGAACGGATGATGGATGTTGAACAGAAACTGAGGCTCGTGAAGAGGCTTCTCCAAGATAAAGTAAATCAGCTGAAGGAACAAGTAAGCCTTCTTGCCCTTTTCCCCATATCTTCCCTGCTGCTTCTGTAAAAAGCTAAGCAGGCAAAAGCCACAGCATTGCTCTTGCTGAGAAGAAAGTTAAAGACGTTTTTCTTTGAGTTCTTCTTAGCCAACATATTTGCCCAAAACTTCACAGAAATTCAAACTGAAGTCTGAATTAATCGCTCATTAATTCCCTAAAAGCTATGCATGTTTGGTGTGCAGGCACGCTTAAAGTCAGGAAACAAATGTAAAATTGGGCCAAGCATTTTAGCTGGAGAAGTCGCTTACAAAGGACTAAGGAATTTTCTGAAGAATACAGGGATTACAGAACTGGCTTTTCCACACCCCCTGACCCAACACATCCTTTGCTCGATAAGATTTTGGGGTTTCTGTTCTTGCTCTGGTCTGTCTTCTTCAGAAATTCTCAATAGGGTCTTTTGTACACTTAGCAGGGAGCGACACGAAAGCATTGGAGAGAACGTCTGCCCTCTGTCGAGGTGCAGTCTCCCCTCTCATTTTAAGGAGAAGCTACACCAATGCGGTCTCATGCCAAATTGCTTCTCCAATGTAGATAGACAGATGTCGAGTTGCTTTCCCTGATTTGATAGGGTGGCCCAAACCTCTGTGGAATGACCTGTGTGGGACCGATGAGCACGTGGAGCACACCTGTCCTTACAGGGCAAATGGAAAAGGGTCATTTGAAGCCCTCCAACATCTGCATGATCTTTCAAGTTCCTTGCAAAGACTTTCCAGTTTCAAAACGTTCATAGCATCCGTGATGGCTCTGTAAACGTCTAGTTTGTAACAGATGAGAGTAGAGAACGAGAGGGCGGGTTGTCTGCCTTGGGTACGTTAAAATGAAGGCGTTCAGCTGTGCCTCCTGACCATTTAAAAAAGCTTCTCGTTTTCCTGTTGCTGTTTGTGTGCTGAGTAATAACGTTTCGCTCACAATTCAGCTTTCCAAGAACACCAAAGCAGACGCAGTGGTCAAGGATCTCTATGTTGAGAACGCTCAACTGCTGAAGGCTTTGGAGATGACGGAGCAGCGCCAGAAAACTGCCGAGAAGAAAAACTATTTACTAGAAGAGAAGATCGCCAACCTCAATAAGATCGTAAAGAACTTGGCATCCCCATCTTTCAGTTCAGCAGCTGAGTTAAGGTCATAGCAAAGCCCTGAAGTACGCCACAATCCCGTGCACTTTACTGGAATTGTAATATTTCAGCTTTTCACTGCGTTGCCTTTTTGTATTGAGGAACCTTTAGTTAAGAGATGCCTCCAAGGGGTGGCAGAGCTAAATCCCAAGCAGACACTGCCTACAGAGATCCTTATGTTTATTCCCAAACTATTTTTCTGCTCAGTTTTGGCTAAAAGTAATCTTTGCTATGTAAAAAAAAAAAAAAAAAAAAAGGATGTTTTTCTAGGTTAACTTATTTTGATACTTTGGTTTTAATTTAAAACACGGATGCTGAATATACTGAATTGATTATTTCTATTTAGGTCGAAGCACAAACTGCTGGTATTGAACTAATGACTTTAAAACCCTTTTGGTTTTCTGGGACACTTCTTGGTCCAAACCTAGTAATATAATTATAATATAATCAGGCTCATCTGAGTTGGAAGGGACCTGTAGGTCTGCTCCAACTGGAACAGGGAACGAGGAGGGACATCTACAGTCTGAATACTGCTGATGGAATTGCTATTGAAAGCAAGACTTTCCCGGTGTTGTCTGTATCCTGCAATACGATTCTAGTTTCTGTAAAGCAATATGCTCCACTTCTGCATTAGGAATCTGGGTTATTCCTCATGGCTGCTTCTCCACAGAAGAAAAGCAGTCAAAGATGCGTAAATAGACTACTGCCTCCAACTGATGTAACTGTGTTTTATCTGGAGAAATGTCCCAGGTGGCAAATAAAGACTACTGCTCTTTTTTTATTATTTTTTTTTTTTTTTAAGAAATTATACAGGCCTTTTTTTTTTTTTTTTTTTAATACAAAACCATAGAAGAGCTTCTTCACCAAACAGAAGCGAAGAAATGTAAGTTGTGCATTCAGTATAGTGGTGGAATATTATTACACAGCTGGCAGAAGAAGGGAGAGGGGAACTTAGTGATGTGGCTCTGGGCAGCCTGGGCTTCTGGTTGGCGACCTGCACACAGCAGGGGTTGGAACTGGATGAGCATCGTGCTCCTTTGCAACCCAGGCCATGCTGTGATCAGGCCTCACAGACCTCTGTCACTAACGCAGTGCTCTGTGTGATGTGGTGATTTTCAAGGACGTGTCTTTTGTAGTGGGTCTGAGTACAGAAGCTAAGTTTGCAATTAACGGTGAGGAAACAAACTCGATGTGAATACAAAGAACTCAGGGAATAAGACATTCGTTTCCTTCAGTTTAATAGATGCGGATGTTGATGTCAATAGATGGAGGTTAACATGCGCTAGGGAGAGCAGGATGAACAGAATTACGTTCAGTCGAGTATTGCCTTCGTACTCCCTGAGCAACCTGCAGTGGTGCTGCAGTCAGGAAGGCTGAAGAGCACACAGTCCTGTAATGACAGGTGGTGATTACACCTCCTATCTGACGAGTTCATGGGGAACGCAGGCTTTTTGGGATCACCTTCAGGAGTGAGATGGGCCCAACAGCAGCCGCTGAATGAGAGCTCACACGCTTTGGAGCTGGTTGTAACCAATTATTACCAATGGTCCAAATGTGATGCTAGCTTTCCTTACAAATGCTGGTCTCCATCAGACCAGTAAGGTGTATTTACTGTAAATAAAACCAGTGAAAGGGGCCATACTGGCAATACTTGAAACTGGACCTCTTTAAATATGCATAAATTGTGGGTGCAGGAGGGGAAGATGGGAGCTTTATCTCTGGGACTACTAGCAAGGTGACAGTTGTGACAGCATTTGTGACGTGGCAGCTGTCTCCTGGACATTGGGATGCAACTGCCCCTATGGAAGGTGACTCTCACTCAGCAGCGTGGCTGTAGGGGATGCTGCCTTTGTCTAAAGGGTTACCTGCCACTCACAGGGCTGAGGGACTGAACTGCACTTGCTGGGTACGACCTCCTCTTCTCCTCCTCCATTGCCTTATAGGAAAAGACATACCATAGTGGCAGAATATCTTGGAGGAACAAAAATTTCCTTTTAAATTATTTCACTATTCTGCTGTTGTGAATGCCTGTACTGGTTATTTGTCTATGTAATCTCAGAGATCCACATATCTTATAAATCTCCGCTGCCTAAACACGTTGACAGATAGCACTGACATGGGTTGGAGCTTGATTTTAAAATTTGAAGTTGAGAGATCCTTCTTTTAATATTGGAACAGGTTGCCCAAGGAGGCTGTGGATGCCCCATCCCTGCAGGCATTCAAGGCCAGGCTGGATGTGGCTCTGGGCAGCCTGGGCTGCTGGTTGGCGACCTGTACACACCAGGGGTTGGAGCTGGATGAGCACTGTGCTCCTGTGCAACCCAGGGCATTCTAGGATTCTGTGATTCTATATTGATCTGTAAGTGGTAACAGTTGTAATCATAGAGCAGTTTGCGTCGGAAGGGGCCTTTAAAGGCCATCTGGTCCCACTCCCCTCAGTGGACATGGACATTCAGAACCCATCCTCTGACCTTGGATGTCTGCAGGGATGGGGCCCCACCACCTTTCTGGGCAACTTGTGCAGTGCTTCATGCTACACCTCTGTGTGTGGGTACCAGGGCTGTGTGTTAGCAGTGTGGTAACTGAACACACCTTGAACTATGCTTACCCTATGGAAATTAGCAAAGTTTCAAACTATTTCCAGGAAACAACACGTGGTATGGTTCAGATGATCAGAACTGTGTTTGGAAATGTATTATTAGCTAGTGCATACTAACACCACTTCATATGTTGTCCAGGAGTGAGGGGTCACTGTCCCTGGAGGTGTTCCAAAGCCATGGAGATGTGGCACTGAGGGATGTGGGCACGGTGGGCTGGTTGGGTTTGGGGAATCTTGGAGGTGTTTTGTAACCTAAACGACTCTGTGATTCTATGAAAAAAAGGGAGCCAAGCTATAATGTTAGCACTGCAATACAGGGGAAAAGCAGAGAAAAGGGGTTCTAACTGTCCCTCTTCCCACCCTATCCTGCCTCCTTCTACGTTTCTTTCTTCCAAACATCAACCTAACCAACTGGAAAGGATAGGAGAAGGGTGCAGGAGGAAAACAGTGGGCAAAAACTCAAATCTCATTGGAATGCTTGTGCAAATGAATTCTCAGAAGTGCCTTCTGTCATTACGCATGCTGGAGCCTTTCTATGCTGTACTACTTTTGCTGCTGCAGGACAATTCAGGACAAACCCTTCCCGGGGGGGGGAACGGTCATGGTGCTCCAACCAGCGTTGTGTTGCTTGTTGTGTCAGCTCAAGAAATAAGCAGCTCGTCCCACAAAGTCAAGGCTACTGAAAATAAACATAGAAACATGCGAACATGCAAAGCATTTGTGGTCTTTTGTGCATGGATGTGTCTCCGGTGCACTGCAGGCATTTTAAAGATACCAAAGTATTTAGTGGTGTGGTAAATCACTGAGTTTCTGGGCCTCCTTGGTACAGCAGTTAGGATATTAGTTACTTCATGGCCAGAAGGTGTTTTAAATGCTTTCAACTCTCGCTTTATGAATCACTGTGAAAATCAAGGCATGTGGGTATGGAGGGTTGGAGTTTAGGGAGGGGCAGAGCAATCACACTCGTATCAAACGGATGTGAGCTGAATTCACCCCATTGAAGTCCTACGTGTCAATTTAGAATGGTATAAAAGCATTCTTTGCTATGCATACTCCCATTACCACTTCGGGTACAAAGAGAATGGAAATATTTCAATTCTGACTGACAAAAGAAGGGGTTGTAACATATTTTAGCCACATGACAGGTGAGGTAGAGTTGGGGACAGCCTGGGTCTGTCAAGTACAACACAAATGGCATCACCATCTCTCAGGTTTTCCACGACTGCCTGCTGTGTGAGATGCCACCACTGCTGACGTGTTTGCTGTGTAAACGGAGACGGTCGTGTATGTTTGTTTTCGTTGGGTCTGTTGTGATGTGCTGTCCTTACACCCCCTTGTAAAGCAGGAGGAACCAACCTACGTGTTATTTATAATGAATGTAAAAAAATAAAAAGAAATCACTGTAAGACTCTTGCTCGTGGCTGTGGGGTTGTTTTTTAGTTTGCTTGTTTGTTGGTTTTTTCCATCTTTTATGGAAATCGTATGGGCGGAGGGTTTGCATCTCAGAGGGTTTTGCCAACCGGAATGATCGCGGCCTCCAGTCCGCCAGGGGGCGCCACGACCGCGCCGCCGCGCCGCTCTGTCCTCATCCTTCCTCTCGTCTCCTCCCCCCACAACACCCCGCGCCTAACGGCACCCCGCGGCCGCGCCCCGCAGCCCGCCCCCCGCTCACGGCCTCCGCCCGCCGCCCTGAGCGCCTGAGGGGGCCGCGGGCGGCCCGGCCCTGCGCGGAGCGGAGCCGGGCATGCGGGCGGCGGGAGCGGGCCGGGAGGAGGAGGTGGGATGCTGTCGCGGAAGAAAACGCGGACGGAGCTCTCGAAGCCCGGCGAGGTGCAGGGGAAGTACGTGAAGAAGGAAACCAGCCCGCTGCTCCGCAGTGAGTGACCGAGCGCCGGGCGGGGCGGGGCGGGAGCGCGGCACGGAGCTGGGAGGGCTCGCGGTTAAGGCACGGCGCTCGGCTGCGCCCTCAGCCGGCCGCCAGCCATCAGCACGGCCTGTGGGAGCCGCCCGGCGCTGAGCGGGGCGCGGCTGGGGGCTGCAGGGCGGGGAGCGATCAGTGCTGTGTGAATGGGCCTGGGGGGAGAACAAGGGGAAATGGTTTGAAGCTGAGGGAGGGCAGATGGAGGTTGGATGTCGGGGGGAAGTTGTGTGCTGTGCGAGTGGTGAGGTGCTGGAACAGCTGCCAGAGAGGCTGTGATGCCCCGTCCATCCCTGGAGGTGTTGAAGGCCAGGTTGGATGGGGCCCTGGGCAGCCTGGGCTGCTGTGAAATGCGGAGGTTGGTGGCCCTGCATGGCACAGGGGGGTTGGAGCTTCGTGATCCTTGAGGTCCCTTCCAACCTGGGCCATTCTGTGATTCTTTGATTCTCTGGGTGGGAGCTGTTTGCGTTGGCTTCTTTTGCTGTCAGAACTCTGCTTCTTTGACAATAGCTTCTGTGTGTGTAGGCTTTTGTTGTGCCAGTGCAAACTGCAGCCCCACCGTTATTCTGCTGTATGCATTAGAGGTGCTTTAAAGGGGTTCTGGCATTAGAATGGAGTCACTTGCATGGTGTAAGTCAGGCACCGTAGCTAACCAAATACCATAAGTGCGTGCAGAGTTCATTTCCCTTCTCTGCCGTAACAGATCTGATGCCTTCCTTTATCCGTCACGGTCCAACCATTCCAAGACGAACTGATATCTGCCCTCCTGACCCGAGTCCTTCTGCTTATGGCTCTGGTGGAGATGGAGCTGTTTCCAGAAACCAGAGTTTCCTTCGAACACCGGTGCAGAGGCCGCCACAAGAAATAATGAGGCGTGAAAGCAACAGACTGTCTGCGCCTTCCTACTTTGCTCGAAGTTTAGCTGATGTTGCTAGAGAATATGGCTCTTCCTCCCAGTCCTTTCTAGCAGAAACCAATTCGGTTTTGGAAAACGGAGATGCTGGCACACGTTGTTACTATTATGATCACTTCTATGATGCCCAGAGGAGACGTCAGCTGAACGATCGCTTGCATGAGGACTACAGGTATTACGAGCACAGCGGGGAGCTTTTCCAGAGGATGTCTCACAACCATGGCCGGCGCACCTCAGGTGAGGATGGGTTCATTGCTGCCCTTCACATGTCACTGAACAGCTTCAGGTACAGAGGTATTTCATAGCATCACAGCATGGCCTGGGTTGCACAGGAGCACAGTGCTCACCCAGTTCCA